GCCCCAAATCATCCATTTTAGATTGGGATTCTCCATGACAAAAATCATCCAGCTATTGGGTACCCCCATGACTTCGGAAACCCCCAATTCTTCCGGAATCTGGAGAAGGCTTGAGATTGTTGAATTGATGTTGACTGAGTTGTCGACTGAGTTGGTGAATTTGATCTTTGGAAGAAGTTGCTGGGCAGTTTTGTGGTTCATGGCAATGGTAGTAAAGTGACTAATGAATGGCTGGTAACATTGGATTCAATTGCTAGGTATGAATCGGTCGATATTTTATACCCTTTAAGCCTTTGTGTGTCTAGCGAAATGTTGGCATTTTTGCGTTCCGTTCTTACTTTCGGCGAGCATCCAAACTCACCATAGCTTGGTGGGATAGTTTGGTTGATTGAAGGTTCACCCACTAATCAAGCTAAGCAAGTTGGATGTTGATGGATCCTTGTCCTAAGAGAGCCCAATCACTTCAGTGAACATAGCGAACGACCACGCCACGATACTTTTTCGTTTTTTTTTTTTAATTTCCCATCCAATCCAAGCCCTATTTATTTTGCTTTATAAATTTCAACAAAAACCTAGCCCAGAAGAACATAGATTTTCTCTTGTACCCTCTGGTAAACCAACAAAGCTATGGAACATCAGCTTTTTGAATAGGTACATCACAGAACTGAATGGCTGTTTTCAATAGCAAACTGGGTTCTAACATGTTCTAACCATACTAATAAAAAAGGGTTGGTCAGATACAAATGGTTGGTTAATCAATGTTAATCATACTATAATCCCATATAATCCCATAAAGAACATGGATAACTTCCAATAAGTCTGGACATTTTCTGGGGACGCTGCCCAGCATCGCAGGCATTGCTGGTCTTGAAGAGGATCGACTTGACGAGCCGCTGCCGGTGTCTTGGGCGATGGGGCAGCCATGGGAATCGTTTGGTTTTCAGCTTTGTCTGAAAATCAAGGCTTCCTCTAAATCCATTGCTTCAGGATAGTTTTTTGGATCATTTTTTGGATCATTTCCCCTATGGCCTATGGAATCCTATGGGATCCTATGTGCAGTATATGTGCAGTATATGTCCAGCAATACCTAGCATTTTTAACGGCGCAGCCATATCATTCAATAGCTCCAAAATTTTCCAACTAATGATCCATCCCCATACCGAAGTGTCCGATGAGAACGGGGGGACCCAGAGATTGGAATGTCGGAATTTGAAGTACTGAAAAACCGTTACTGTATCCATCTATTAATAGAATGGGCACCGAAAAAATTGAGCCATAGCTATAGAATCTATAGAATCTTAAAATGATATGATATATACAGATATACACATGTACAAAAACATATGTACATATGTTATGTATGAAAGCGAATGGCTATAGTTATGTACATATCAGTTCCAAAACAAATGAAGCACAAACGGGACAACAAGTCGTGATCTGCACCCCATGCCCCTCACTTTCGAGTGGAACAGTGAAACTTCGGGTCCCCGGGGTAGTGTTCTGGTTGCGGATGTGTTTGGTCGTGAAAACATAGTCCCCTTTAATATTTGGATTGGTTGGTTGCTGCTTGAATTGCCAAGTCATAGAAAAACGATGAAAAACACCACTCCCACTGCCCAGTTCAGTATGGCAATCCTGGTAGTCTGGCCGATCAGTGGCTGGTTTCAGCCCTTTTCCTTGCTTATGACACCTTTCTTGTTAGCTGAATTTCCGCCCCGTTATTCTCATGACAAACCCAATTCCCCAGTGAGGTCCTTATCCCTAGAGGTCTTGGATGATTTGACATCAGTTGTACGACTTGCTGCTCATCCGGGTTCAAAGCTAGTATTTGCATATCCGAGAAACCAGTATGGATGTCTCAACCATCAACGACCTCACTTTTACCCAATCCTCCGTTTGTTCATGCCCCCTCCTTTGCTTGGTAAATCATCTTGAAACTAGTCTTGGGTTGGTGTTTATTAGTGTCCCCTAACAATCCATCGCATATTTAAGGTGTCTTCAGGCCTGCTGAAAAAGTACTATTTGAAGCTGCTTCATCTTCCCATTTTTGGGGCTGAAGATTCGGAACTCCCGTCCAATATTGGAAACCACATTTTCTACTATGCTATGCCATGTATTTGGTGGTAAAATGTAATGTATTGAGGTAAATCCCGAGACAAATGAAACATGTATTAATCACAATATATCATAATATTTACACAATTTCTTGGTTAGTGATGTACTAGCCTGATTCTATCCAATGACCTCGCCATAAGTCCATGTACCCTCTGGTTATTTATCATAGCCATGGTATAGATGGCCCATGGAAATATATGATTTTCCCATAAACACCTCCATTTAGAGATGGGATTTTCCATGGCTATGTTAGTCATAACCAGATGGTAGCTTTACCAGTTTTTCCGGGTAGATCCCGGATTTTCCGATTGCCTGGTAGGATCCTCTTCCTGCAGAGCGCTTGCAGCGCTACAGAGCCGTGGATCGAGCGCTGCGCTGCGTCTTCGCACTCAGCAGCGTCAGTCAGGCGGCGACAGCGCGGAGAGCTCGAAAAATGAGGAGATGATGGGGATATATGGGGGTAGCATGAGGGTATAATGGGATTTAATGGGATTTGAGATGTTTTAATTAATTCGATTTATACATACTGAGATTGAATCGGAGTTTAATGGGATTCAATGATGGAATTTAATGGGATTTCATGGAAATTAATAGCGATCTCGATCCATATGTTGGGATATATAAGCAGCAAGATCTTTCCGGATGGAAGACGATGGTGAAGTATCCAGGTCATCTTGGGAGGATTTCCCCCTCTCAACCATGATTTGTGGTGACAAGTCGTCCAGATGGCTATTCCATTCCTCAACTGCTGTTGTTCTATATACAAAGTGGGTTAAACCACCTTGCAGCTATGCCTCTGGTTAGCGGCTACTCGGTGTTGGGTGTCGGCCGTGACATGCACACCCTGGTAAGTTTTTACACCAAAGCAGCTACCCTGATGTCAGAATTCCGTGTATATATATAAATATCATATATATATATAATTATCATATATATATATATATGGCGAATTTCAATTGTCAACGCATTTGCAAGTTCTTGTGTCAGGCATGTATTTTTCTCAGTTGGGATCCGCATTTTTTCGGGTGATGTAAATACCCCATGCATCCCCATGTTTCAAGACTCTAAGTAGATAATTTCATCGGATTCTCAAGCTATGCATACCAGTTGCAACATGTTTAACCTGCTTTTATTATGAGCTAGGTATAGATGGGATAAACCCCGTTCTACATGGATTACTTTCATTTACTATATTTACATATATTTACTATCGAGGATGCATCAAATAGGTGCAGCCGTGTAGCCCAAACAAATGGAAACCATTTCCATCCATATACCATCCATATACCATCCATATACCATCCATATACCATCCATATACCATCCATATACCATCCCCCAACTAGCGCAGACGCCAGGGGGTTGGACTACTTTCCAAGATTGGCATGGACGGATAGATATCCACATCTTTGGCCAAACCTTTGGTGATTGAAGAGAATTCATTCCATTCATATGAAGTTGGCTAACGATTGATGTTGGTTATATATCCCACTGCAAAGCTATTATATAGTTGGTTAATGTTGGCTATATCATTCCCATCGAACACCAAAACACAACCTATAACTTATATCTCCATTTCCCTCGCTGAAATCCACCATTTCAGACACCCCCCAAAAAATATGGTGGTTTCCTAAAATGGGGGTAGCCTCTGGTAATTTAACATAGCTATTGAAAATGGCCATAGAAATGGTGAGTTTTCCCATTAAACATGGTGGATCTTTCCATAGTTTTTTGTATGTTTACCAGAGGGTAAATCCCATTAAATCCCATTAAATCACCATTAAATCCAAGTAATTTTCCCACTAAATCCCATGGTACATCCATGTAACTCATCCAAAAACCCCACCAGCTGAGCTGGGGATCCCCCATGAAAGCCTCCGAGCTCCTGGCAGGTGATTAGCAAAGACCTGAAAGAGATGATGCCTGACATCTGTCGCGCCCTGCGTGAGGCTGGTTTGTGCGCACCATGACATGATGATAAATGGATATCAATGGGATATACTGGTCATATACCATCTATATCCAATTTGGGTATAGGTGAATATATGAATATATATATATATAAATATTTATATATGTATTGTGTAATATGGAAAACGTGATGCCATAAAGCATTCCTAGTATCATAAGTGGGTGGTCAAAATGATACCCAAATGGTCGTTGTTTTCATGGCATTGGCTTTGCCACATTTCTAGCCTCGTCGCCTCCGAGCATCAAACATGGCTGAGAAATCCAGATGATGCATGAGCATTTATTAGTGGGAAAATCATTTGAATTGGATATAGATGGTATATGACCAGTATATCCCATTGATATCCATTTATGATCATGTCAGGGACGGTGCTAGAATTGGAGGATTTCGGTTGATTGTTCTTCTGTTGGTGAATCATTTTCTGGTTTTTACATGGGGCCACCCAGATGATGGTGGTGATAGCGAACAGCAGTCCACAGCTGACAAGTCTGTAGCAACAAACTCGAATGTCCTCATTTTGTCTGGAGATATTCACTTCAATTGGAATTCTTTTTTATTTTGAACCAAGTCGCCGGAACCGACGCAAACAAGGTTTGCTTGTCAACTTGTCAACCATGGTTGAAGCTGGTAGAAAATAAAGTATTCAATAAACATCAATTTCAATGCGCATCGCCCAAAAATGGCTGATCCCGGTTGACTGCTTGGCATGGCATGGCTTGAACCGGTTTGAAGCGCATCAAAACCCTGGTCACTAGGGCACTCGGCGCCAGGAGAGTGAGCGAAGGAGCGTGCACATCTCCTTTGCGAACAGCTTGAAGTTGACGGACGAGGACCGGGTCATCGGAAACTTGGGGTAATGACCTACAAAAGTTGGCATTTTCACTCTTGAATGTTGTCAAACCATCCCGTTCTATGTGGCTGTCTTATTTTTGGACCCAAACGATCTTTTGCTTGTACTCTCCGTATCCCCATTATATCCTAATGATATCCCCATTACATCCCCGGGTGCCTTGGTTGATCTTTCGATCCGATTGCAGTCCCACCCGTTCCGCAGGACTTGTGCCACTTGGCGCAAGCGCTGCCTGAGGGTCTGACCCAACTGCGATTTGATCTCAGATCCTGCCACCAGCTGTCGAACGTTCCTGGGAAGAAAATGAATGGGTGCGACTTAGCTAATTTAATGGGATTTAATGGGGTTTAATGGGGTTTAATGGGATTATAATCTTAGATGACTTGAATGACTTGGTGGCCCTTGGTGGCTTCCAAATTTCGAAAACTGGTGGCGGCCTGTCTGAGAATGATGTCATCGATTTTAGTATGATTTTCAGAGGGAGCAATGAGATTTTGAACATCTTTAAACCATCAACTTTAATAGGATAGCCTATTTTCAGACAAACTCAATGGATTGGTTTAAGGGAAATTTTACAGGAAAGCCCCATAGAAAAAATGGGAAAATCTATGGTTTCCGGTTTCGATTTTCCCTTAAACCAATCCATTGACAAAGCCATACATAGCACTTTTCTCTGGCTGTGAGTTAAATCTGATCCTGGTCTGGTTCACGGTCAGGGCCGCCAGGGTGATGACACAACTTGGACTCACAGCCATTTTTTTTACTTTACCACCGGACGAGGTTATTTTGTTCACATTTATTTGACTCCAACGTTTTGGTACTTTGACTATCTTTGATTAACATAAATAAATAAGTAAAAAAACACATAAGTAAATAAAGACATAGATAAATCACCTGAATATGGATGATGAATCCCAATTGTGTGTTTTGTTTACCAGTGGTACTGCACAAGGCGGTGGCGGAAGTTTCAAACATAGGAAACTATAGAGAGCGAACCACTGATGGACAGAAAGGTGGTTGGAGTTGTGCTTTTAGAGTGGTTGCAGTGGTCACATCACCCACAACTGCTGGATGTAGTGTGGTGTAGCGTAGTTGTAGTTGTAGTGGTAGTTGTAGCTGTAGTTGTTGTAGTTTGTCAGTCTGATTTGGAGCATGCGGACTTCACCGAGGATGGGTGGCCTGCAAGTCGTTGGCTGGTTTGGCCGCTGGGCATCAGATTCTTGTTGCGGGAGACGGATTTGGCGTGCGTGGCCTTCAGCAGTGATGAGATAAAACTCAACGAAGTTGAGAAGTTGGTGACCCTCAAGTTGTCTGCCAGCAAGACGGACCCATCAGCAAGGTGTTAGAACTTTGGCCTGTGACTGCACTGGGTCAAGGGAAGTGTAGCTGTTGCAAAAAGAGCCTTTCAAAGTGCCCGACGATTTCGTGGGATGGTGGCGCAAGTCTGTCAAGTGCCTTCACCCCCTTGAATCTGCTCATATGGAGACCTGCCAGCCGGCTGTAGACAGCCTCCACCGCCGCCGCGTCCCTGCAGCGATTGAGCTGTGGGGCAGGCTGGCCAACCTTTGCAAGTTGGTGGGCGACGACGCGCAGCTGCGACTTCTTACAGTTTGGCTGCGCTTGGTGATGATTGCTTACTACGTGGGGAACTTCAAATTTTTGAATGTATTGCCCGATCCCAACCCAGTTGAAAGAAGCCAGGTGAAAGGGGCGCTGATTGAGTACATCCAGGGACTGCGGGAGAACTACTTGCCAGAGCTGAAAGACCGCTTGAAATTTTATGCCTTGGTTCAACAGCAGTGATAGGCAACGCATGGTTTGGCGCCCCAGTGCTTTGGAATATTCCAGCAACTGCAAGGCCCTTGATTCCTTGATACAGGTGCGCGTGGAAGACACTGGGTTAAATTGATTTGAGTGTTCTGTGTTTGCCGCGCAGCAGTTGGACGCCTTCAAGAGGTACATTGAAGCTGATGCTGGAACAGAATGTATTTCAGGCGAGGCAGAGAAGTTAATGATTGCTTTGCTGCGGTGCCCTTTGATGGGGCGGCCAAAAATGGCTCGGGGCGCCCGCGTTGACACTGGACAAAATTTCCATTTAACACTTCTAACCATTGGCTGCTGCATACAGAAGCCACAAAGCCGCAGAAGCCACTGAAGCCACAAAGCCGCAGAAGCCGCAGAAGCCGCAGAAGCCACAGAAGCCGCAGAAGCCACAAAGCCACAGAAGCCACAGAAGCCACAAAGCCGCTGAAGCCACAGAAGCAGAAGCCACAGAAGCCATGAAGCCACAGAAGCCACAGAAGCCACAGAAGCCACAAAGCCGCAGAAGCCACAGAAGCCGCAGAAGCCACAGAAGCCACAGAAGCTAGAAGCCCTAAAGCCGCAGAAGCCACAGAAGCCACAGAAGCTAAAAGCCGCAGAAGCCGCAGAAGCCGCAGAAGCCACAGAAGCCACAGAAGGGGGGATCTAAAGATATTTTTCAAATTTCAGAAATTTGAATATGGATAGTAAATTAATTTAGTTTTTTTTCTTTTTTTGTTCCTAGGTTTTTTCTGTTTTTCTCAAGTGTCATTTGGGATTTTTTCCTGTTTTTCACTGCTCTTTCCTTCTCATTACGTTTTGGTTTCAATGTGTTTTTTTGGATTTTTCCTGTTTTTGTCATTGTTTTTTTCTCCCCTGTTTTTGTTGCTTTCCTTCTGTCCTCAACTTCATGGTTTTGTGGCTTCTGCGGCTTTGTGGCTTCTGCGGCTTCTGTGGCTTCTGTGGCTTCTGTGGCTTCTTCGGCTTCTGTGGCTTCTGCGGCTTCTGCGGCTTCTGCGGCTTTGTGGCTTCTGTGGCAACTGCGGCTTTGGCTATTGTGGCTTCTGTGGCTTGTGCGGCTTTGTGGCTTCTGCGGCTTCGTGGCTTCTGTGGCTTCTGCGGCTTCTGTGGCTTCTTCAGCTTTGTGGCTTCTCCTTCTGCCGCTTCTGCGGCTTTGTGGCTTCTGTGGCATCTGCAGCTTTGTGATTCTGCATGCGACAAGTGCACGCATCATATGCCAGGTTGGTTTAACTTTAACTTGGACAGCAGTGACAATGGGCGAAGTTAGAAAAGGAAGGCGTTCAACCTATTCAGCAACTGCAGCGTGTGGGACAGGATTTCAATGTCATCAAGGCCTGGGAAGATCAGGCAATGTCGTGTGCCAAGATTACACAAGGGTTGAGATTTGAGAGTCCGCTTGTTTGCGCTAAGTTTGATCGAAGTCATTTGCTGCAGTTTGCAACTTCGCCCATTCTACGGAAAAGATTGCTTTTTTTATTTGGCGGCTGCAGGGGCAAGCATGTGACACTCGAGTTTTTCTAGTAAAAGAAAGGCAGCCAATTGACAAAAGAAGAACATGGTCGGTGTCCTGTGTTGTCACGCAAAGATTTGCAAACACCCGTTGCCAGAAGTGTTCCGAGAATGGTGAGTTTTGTACATTTTCACTTTGACATGTGCTTCGCGCGCCACAACGTCTCAACTTCCAAAAGTGTTCCAAACATGTGGCGTTTTTACCATTTGGACGACAAACGTGGTTCGCACCGCAGCGGTGTGCACTCTTGGAACATCTCAGGCAAAATAACTCCGGACGTGAGGTGTTTTGGGCCTTTTGACTGCGAAATTTGCTTCGCGCCACGACGGCGTGCAATTTTTCATTTCTCTTTTTCCCAGATGGCTCCGCATCTGCCGCTTTAGGGAACCTACTTTTCGACCTTCCGGAGCCACAAAACATTGGAAAAACACAGTGTTTCGCCACTTTTTCTACCTTTTCGCGCGCCTTGATCTTCCTTCTTCTGCCTTTTCTCTTCTCTGACTTCTTCTCTTCTGTCTCTTTCTCTTGTCTGCCTCTTCATACTGTCGGAAGTTTGACTCCTAAACTTCCTTCGAATAGGGTTAAAGTGATGAGCCAATTGTCTAGCAACAATCCCTATACGGTCTGAATCGTCAACACATGTCATCACAATATAATGTATTGTGATTTGCATGACATAGCACGACATAACTATTTCTGCGTATACATGTACATAGAGATGTCACACCTAAAACATGCAGCTCGAAACACCGGGTTCCCCCTGCTACCAAGGCCTCGCTACTGGAACTGGCGAAAGCGCTGCAGCGAACAAAGCAGCTGAGATCGCTCTTCCTAGATTTTTATATGCGCCGTGGTTGGCAAAAAACAAGGGGTTGAACCATCAGAGGTGAATATTCACCGGGAGATTTTGCTATCAAATTGGGATTGACGAAAAATGTGGGTTTAGCAGACCAACATTGCAGGGAATTTAGATCTTATATAGTAATATAGTTTTTAGACCAACCACTCTTCAGATTTGCGATTTGACTCAACAAAACTGGGAAATCTGCTATTCAGCAATCTCAAACAGCAAGGGCAAATCTCGTTTGGTAGTAGATGATTTTCCCATTGATTTTGGGATGCTCAATTTCCATAATTGCCATTTTAGATTATCAGCAGGAAACACAGGGACATGATCAAAGCACCATAGATGGGAATTTGAGCAATCAAACGCAGAGAAATGGACTTTCACCCAAACATGCATCAGGATTTAGACCAACAATTCCCGACCAGAAGTAGACTTAATCAATAGGAATTCTGACACCAGAAGATCAATCGTTGAGACGCAAATTTGCCAATAATTGTTTGGGTCTGAAAATTGGGAACCCCAGTCCATCTTAGGTAGGGACTCATTGTACCTGTTTCCCTGGGTTGCGGCATTTGGTCCCATTGTTTTCCCTAATTAATTTAGGGCGGGTCAAGCATCACTTCGCATGAAAAACCATGATAAAACACCATCGTGTCGTTGGCAAAATCATGATCCTAAACATATTCGGGAGAAACCACCCAGCATCTATCTCAACCGCGTGAGATCAAACCACCATGTACGACCTCCCCATTTTTATTTCAGTGATTTTTTTTCAGATTTGACCTGGGCAAATTATAGTATTATAGTGGCCTGACGTCGTGACCCCACTGGAATCATGGTTATAAGTTATAAGAGGAATCATTACCTAAATGGCTTTATTTTTCAGGTGATTTTCATTTATCCAGGCATATATTGCAATGATATTCCCAGTTTCTATCCAGATATCTTCCACTTTTATCCCATGAAGTTCCATTAAATCCCAGATTTTTCCTGCTGAGATTTGCCATGGTAAAATGGCTATGGTGAAGCCCGCGGTCCAAGGTGCTGCAAAATGACTGATGTGGGGCTTCTGGAGGTTTGGCGTAGTTCCTGGGTGGAGTTGGGCCCGCAGAGCACTCGCTAAAGCTTGGGTCAATGGGATTTAAGCTAACCAAAACATGGAAACATCATGGGGATAATATTATGACAACCCTTAGGTTATACACTTTGCGATCGTTTTTTCCCGAATGCGTAGCAAGGGTTCCCATTTCAGATGCTGTGTTCGCCAGACGTTGCGCAATCCGCAACCGTTCGCGGGCGGTCGTGTGAGGCCCGTATGGCCGTGCCTATGGCGAGTTCTGCAAAAGTGGTAACTTTTCGAGGTTTCACGTGCCGCATAGCTTCGTTTCGCGTGGCAGGCGCAATACTTTCGCGTCGTTTCAAGAAGATGAGTTGCATTTTTCGTGGCAGGCGCAGCAATATTTTGCGTGGCAGGCGCGGCACGTGTGGTGTTGCGCGTTTTTTGCGAATCGCATTGTCAGGGCTGCGTCAAGCGGTGGCAACGTGCAAATTCCGTGGTAGGCGTGGCATTTTGTGACGTGTGATGAAATTTTATGGAAGCCTCGCACGAAACATCGATTTTGAGGTAGCAAATTTTGAGGTTCATGAGAAAACTCGTAGGAAAACGTCCAATTTGAAGCTACAAAGTATGACAGTATGAAAATTGGAGGAAGGCAAGTCTCGCACGAAATGCTCGTTTTGAGGCTCCTACATGTCTAGTCTCGATTCTCTGGTTTTCTTCTGCCGTCGCTGTGTCTATTGGGGAAGCTGCAAAACCAGGTTTCCAAGCAGGTTGCCATGTCGTTTTGCGTGGCAGGCGTGGCACTTGTTGACATTCTCATGTGTCTGCGAAAGTGTGGAAAGTCGTTTTGTGTGGCGCTGCCATGTTACTGCGTCGTTTTCAGAAGATGAGTTGCATTTTTCGTGGCAGGCGCAGCACTTTGGAGACCACCATCGTCATTTTGCGTGGCAGGCGCAGCATTTGGTAAAGATCTGTCATGTGTGGAATGCAATTTTGCGTGGCGATTACAGTTTTTCGGACACACTGCACTTTACACTCCGCTCTCTACACTCTACACTTGACACTCTACACTTTACACTTTACAATGTGGACTTCACACTTCACACTCCACACTACACACTCCACACTTTACACTCCACGCTCCACACTCTACACTTTACACTCCACACTCTACACTTTAGACTTTAGACTTTGCACTCCACACTCCACAGTTTACACTCCACACTCCACGCTACACTTTACACTCCACTCCACTCCACATTCTACACTTTACACTTTACACTCCAAACTCCACTCTATACACTCCACACTTTACACTTTACACTCTACACTGAACACTTTACACTGCGCACTCTACACTCTACACTTTACACTCTACACTCCACACTCCACACTTTACACTTTACACTTTACTGTCCACACTCTACACACTACACTTCACACTCCACACTCTACATTGTACACTCCACACTTTGCACTCCACACTCCTCGCTTTGCACTCCACGCTTTACACTTTACACTCTACACTTTCCACTTTACACTCCACAGTCCACTTTACACTCCACACTCCACACTTCACACTTTACATGTTACTATCCACACTCCACACTCTACACTTCACACTCTACACTCTACACTTTACACTCCACACTCTACACTCCACACTTTACACTACAGACTTTGCAGTTTACACTTTACTCTCCACACTCTGCACTCCACACTTTTCACTTTTCACTTTTTACTTTGCACTCCACACTCTACACTTTACACTCCACACTCCACACGCTACACTTTACACTGCACACTCCACACTTTACACTCCACACTCTAAACTTCGCACTCTACACTTTACACTCCACACTCTACACTTTACCCTCTAGACTTTACACTCCACACTTTACACTTTACTCTCCAAACTCAACACTCCACACTCTACACTTTACACTCCACCACGCTCCACACTCCACACCCCACACTCCACTGTGCACTCCACACTCCACACTTTACACTTTACACGTTGCTGTCCACACTCCACACGCTACACTCTACACTTTAGACTCTACACTGCGCACTCCACACTTTACACTTTACAGTCTACACTTTACCATCCACACTCCACACTCTACACTGCACTCTATACTTTACACTCCACACTCCACACCTCACACTCCATACTCTACACTTTGCACTTTCCACTTCACACTTTGCACTTCACACTCTACACTTCACACTTTCCATCCCCACACTTTACACTTTACATTTTAATCTTCGCACTCCACACTCCACACTCTACACTTGACACTCCACACTCCACACTTTACACTCTACACTTTACACTCCAAAATGGGGGATTTACTTCCCAAATCATGGCCATTTTGATAGGGGACCATGACGACTTGCCAGCAGATTTAGAAGGACCCAGCCAGACCAACCCAAACTGGTTTAGTTTCAGCTTGATGATTTTTATATATCATTGGCACAGAGATGTAGATATAGATGGTATAGGTCGTGAGTGAAGATCCCCTTTGAGCAACGCCGTTGGTCGCGGGTGGGCCCTTCTCCAGCGGGAATGGCAATGGCTCTGACTTTTCTCGATCTGGTGAAGCACAACATTTGGTCTAAAGTGTTCATTTCACAACATTTAACAAACCATATTTATACCATATTTTCCCATTAATCTTAATATTTATCCTATTTAGATCCAAGGTCATGTCCCCAAACGATATCTAAATTGACTTGATTGACTTGGTGAACTCTAGGATTTATGGTGCGAATAGTCTTCATGGGTTTAACCAACAGACATTTCACTGCGGGGTCTTCGAGGCATTGAAGACTTGCAGCTCTTGGACTTGGATATCAATGTTGCTCGCTACCCTCTGGTCATCAAACACGGCAATGGAAAATCCACATTTTCAAAAACGGTATGTCATCTATAATAGGCAATTTTCATGGATTTTCATCCATCTTCATCCATCTTCATCCATGTTCATCCATGTTCATCCATCTTCATCCATGTTCATCCATGTTCATCCATGTTCATCCATTTTCATCCATTTTCATCCATTTTCATCCATGTTTATCCATATTCATCTATTTTCATCCATGTTCATCCATTTTATGTTCAATTACGAAAGGCTAAGCTGTGCTTTTTGGTGTGGGATGTGTTGACATGTGTCCAATAAGTGGGGATGTTTGTTGAATATGTTTGATGAATATGTATATAATAGGGATGTAGTGGGGGAGAGATACTGGATTATGGGATATATGGGATTAAACCAAATTCATGTAAAATCCACGGCGTTTTATTACTTTCGACACTGGGGACAACTTGTCGTCAACCATTTATCATTTCTGGCTCCGACCAGGGTCCATGGGTATCACTTTGAAGCAGCATGAACCATGTAAAATTGGACAGGGTCAGCAGGTTTGTTTTTTTAATGCGGGGGCTGTGGGTGAATTTATTGGCAATGAAGGGGTCATGGGGTCCCACTTTTTGGTTCATTTTTCGCTATGCAGCCATCTCATGGTTCAGTACTGAAGTATGACACCTAATGACACCTAGTGTTTGGTATGGGTCAAACACACAGAAAACAGAGTAGATGAACACCCCACTCAGATCCAATCAGCCAGGCTTTGAACCTTAAAAAACCGGCAGGTCTGAACTTACGACTCAGGGTTGCACAGACTTGCTGATGAATTTTAGAGTCTCTGAGGTCCAACTTTTTTGGGCCGCCATCAGCCTGGCAATTTTGAACGATTTGTTTCTTTATAGCATCAAAAATATAGAAAATTCAGATCCGAACCTGAAATGGTGAGAAACTTACATGTTTTTTTTCCCCACCTGCCAGGTGAGGGTTGTTAGATTTTATCAGAGTTGTTCTCCTCCTCCTCCTCCTCCTCCTCGGCTAGCTGTCCGCCTCCTCCTCCTCGTCCTCCTCCTCCTCCGCCTCCTCCTCCAGTTTCTCCTCGACCATGTCTGCATCAACTTCCACCTGCACTTCCGCCTTGCCAACTCTTCGCCAAGCTCTTTGCCAACTCTCTTCGCCAAGCTCTTTGCCAACTTCCCAGCTCAGTGTGCACCGCTGGACCTCAACCTGGGACCTTCCCAGCTCAGTGTGCACCGCTGGACCCCAACCTTTCCCAGCTCAGTGTGCACCGCTGGACCTCAACCTGGGACCTTCCCAGCTCAGTGTGCACCGCTGGACCCAACCTGGGACTTTCCCAGCTCAGTGTGCACCGCTGGACCTCAACCGGGGACCTGCCCAGCTCAGTGTGCACCGCTGGACCTCAACCGGGAGATAGAATGCCCGAAGATATGCCAGATAGAATGCCAGATAGAATGCCAGAAGATATGCCAGAACATATGCCAGAAGATATGCCAGATAGAATGCCAGAAGATATGCCAAAATATATGCCAGAAGATATGCCAGATAGAATGCCAGAAGATATGCCAGATAGAATGCCAGAAGATATACCAGATAGAATGCCAGAAGATATGCCAGATAGAATGCCAGAAGGTATGCCAGATAGAATGTCAGATAGAATGCCCGAAGATATGCCAGATAGAATGCCAGAAGATATGCCAGAAGATATGCCAGATAGAATGCCAGATAGAATGCCAGATAGAATGCCAGAATATATGCCAGAAGATATGCCAGATAGAATGCCAGAAGATTTCCCAGATAGAATGCCAGAAGATATGCCAGAACATATGCTAGAAGATATGCCAGATAGAATGCCAGATAGAATGCCAGAAGATATGTCAGATAGAATGCCAGAAGATTTGCCAGTAAGAAAATGTATAGATGTCATGGTGGGGATCACACGAAGTAAAGTAATTCTTTTTTTTCTGGGGTAGTTCCTATAACTGAAGATCCTTCAGGATACCCTATGGATGGATCGGACCATCAGTTCCCATCCACCTTCGTCGAGGTCCGCGGACTGACGAAGGTGACCGACAAAGTCATGCCGGCCACTTTTGGCGAAAAACTGGGGGATGCCGGCCACTTTTGGATGGGCCATGGGGATGTACCCTCTGGTAAACTATGGGCTATATCGAAATATGGATACATACTATATATATAATATAGTATATCACAATTACACAATCTATGTTGTTTACCCTCTGGTAAATTCACAGTTTGCGAGCAAATGGCCATAGAAATAGTTGATTTACCTATTAAGAATGGTGATGTTCCATCGTTTTTTGTAATGGGGATGGAGCAATAGCCAATACCATATCCTCGGCGGAATCCTGGGTTTGTTGAATATGATTCGGCTATATTCGACTTATTTTACGGATAGGAAAACCCTTTGATCGAATCGGGAAGGGAATATTCCTGAATATTCGTATTTTTTTGGAGCCTGAATATTCGCAAATCCAGGATGTGTTTGGGGGACTCCATATCCAGTGCTATTTTGATGTGCCTTCCAGGGGGATTCCAGAGGTTTTGACCGCCATATGAGTCTGGGCAGTGGGATGCTTGATGAGATGAACGATTTTGACCCATAGCTGGGGATATGTAGAATCCCTGTCACAGTATCTCTGAGGCCAACTGAGGTTACAACTGCCATAGGCTTCACCGCAACATCTCCGTATGAGGCAAAATTAGATATATAGGTCATTCAACCTGGCTCTCCAACTCACCATGTTTCATGCGACAATCATCTACACATGTACAGACATGAATATTATTTTCCTTGCTGGATTGTTTAACCACAGGATTGAGACGGTCTGAATTGTTGACCACCAGTTGAAAGTCGCAAGAGAATGTCTAGAAAAAGCCCAGACTTTGGCTCCACAATCTGCTTGAGGATTCCCCCAATTGAGATGACATCCACCAGAATCCCTTCATGTCACTTGACATGACACATATCCTTCACCATACACAGAATTCTCAGGATGCTGGTTGCGATGAACATAAAACGCACCAAACTAACCCATGAAACTTGACCAAATTAACCATATATGATCATTAAAGCCCCAGCTTTGCGGTCGGTGGGTTCGCCGAGCGCTGTACAAAAACATGTACTGCAATTGGTGCAGTCATCGGTACTAGGCAAGCTAGCCATACTAGCCATGAAATGGTGAATGGGTTTGCACTATCCAGTGAACGGAAGGAGCGGTGAATGGAGGCAACCACTATTCATATCCGACCCCCAACAACATGATAGTTGTACTATGACCACAAAACCCAAGAGATAGAAACAGAATGAATCTATTTTGGGTTCGGATTTTATATTTCAATCTTTTTGGAGGTTACCCTCCGGTAATCGAACACGGCAATGGATTATCTTCAAACCCAACTATGCTGGGATTCATCAATGATCACAATGATATTCATATGTATATGTATATATATATATTAATATCAAACGGGATCATTCCCAATCTCATATAATATAACATATCATGTTTCAATCATTCCTAAGTTTTATGAGCGACAAAACATGGAACATAGATCATTCCCAATAGAATCGCGAATCATATCATTCCCTATAATAATATAATTTTGCCAATCATTCTCAATCAATGTTACATTATGTTACAATCATAATGATTGATATTGTGTATATATAAATATAAACATAGATATAAATATAAACACAAATATAAACATGAATATGAATAATAATAATGATAATGATAATGATAATAGTGAAAAACATATAATATATAATAGTGTATAATAATAATAATGCTATATAATATATAATAATAAATTAATATTAATAATAATAACAAAATATAATAATAACAATATAATAATGATGATAATGATAATAATAATTATAACAATAATAATAGATGGTGTCATTCCCAATATGAATCATGATAATCATGATGTAATATGGCAATGCTACTATCCCTTGTATTTTTCCTTCCCTTCTGAATGCCCCAAGCTGCCCGAGGCCATTATCTCTGGTCTCCGAGGCAAGGCCTTGAGGCAAGGCCTCGGGGTAAACCCTGGAAGCCATGGCGCAGTGAGTGCGATGATTTATGCCTATAAAACATGGTGATTTTTCACATCTATGTTAGTTTACAGGAGGGTATGAGATGGATATCTCCACCAATTCTTCATGATTATCAGATGAATTGGTGATTTCAATCATTGAAGTGTTAAACAACGGGATGCTTTCTCCGAGCTGGCTTTTATTTTGAGGGAAGTGAAAACACCTCCGAGGCTACATTTTGCAGGCGTCCAAAGTCATCCAATGGGTAGATTCGCCATGGTTCCCTTTTATAACCAGCCATAAACCAGCGGTCCCAAACTTGTTACCCTCTGGTAATGACTAACATAGCTATTGAACATGGCCATAGAAATAGTGGATTTACCATTAAAAGTGGTGGTTTTCCATAGCTATGTTAGTTTACCAGAGGGTAAGGTGAAACAAACCACCTCAAGCGCCAAAAAATCCGTAAAATCCGTGGCCGAGAGGAAACTGCATTTGAACCTGGCGCAAACGCGACAAAGTGATGCGTTGGGCAGTGAGTTGACGATGGCCTTAGCGGGTCTTCGGCAGTTGGACGCATGGTGAAGGCATGGTGCAAGAAGAGGTGGGAAAATCCATGGAGTTTGAAAGAGCAAACATGGGATTTGAATGGATTTGAGAGAATTTTTCACCAACCGAATGCAATGGATAGTGTAGTTAGCAAACAATGTTAGGGAAGATTGAGGACCGAACGATATAGTGAGAATGATTCGGGATCTAAGCCAACAATTACAATCAATTATATAGATTCATTCCAGGGAAATGTTCGCATGTCCTAAGATTGGGGTTCCATGAGAGTCATACCAGAGTATCTAGTAGAAATCTTGGACACACCGATTTGTTGCTGTTTGACTCTTATTTGATCAGAACCTTTGTTTGGGGTTGCAGAACTTTTGCCAGAGACAACCATCACAATCCTTTCTGGGAATCATTGATCCCGAATTGTTACGGCTCCGCTTGCTGATCATGTATGCCAGATCTGTTTTGTTTGAAAGTCAAAAACCCATGGGAACCCCAAATCCACATCAAACATGTTTTTTCAAGCCATGGGGACACCGAGGAAATTTTGAAGCTTTACTTCACCGAGTGTCCGCGTGTGGCCGACAAAACAGCCACCTCCTTGGGAGACAGTTTGCAGGTCATGGAGATGCTTTCGGAGTCGAAACTTGGGGCATATGGCATGGATTTTTTCCACCTTGGCTTCTCCAGATCTGGGTACCCCATTATGTATACAGTATACACACATGGACTGATTAGCACTTGCCATGTTGTAGGAAATAGATCTTCCAGCACGGGGTTTGGCGGTTTCCATGTAATTTTGCAGAGTGCAAACCATCAAAGAAAAAAATGGGGAAAAATGATGGTTGATATTGGGTGACCCTCCATTTCATTACCTTAAATAGTATAGTTTGAGATTTTTGATATGAACGATCATTGATGGTCAGTATTGATTTCTATATCATATCCAGCATTTTGCTGTTGAAGCTTGGACCCCCCTTCTTCAACATGGTCATCCTCCATGAAACGGGCATCGTCGACCTGGGCGAATTGATGATTCCCGGCCAAGGATCTTGTGCTTCTCCAACACAACTCTGACGGATGACGGCGCGAGTTTTGTGCGGGAGCGCGGAAGTGGGTACCATGTAAATAGCTCGATAAACTAAACTGATACCTTGATTCCTGATCCCCAATTTCCACATGAATATGGTACTTTACCCAGGTTTTTGATGATCTGAGGCTTTTTCCACATATTGAGAACAAAAGAATCAACAATTGGTTCTGGAAAGGCACATTCAGTCGCTTTATGATTGGTACCTGGGTTTTCCCTCAGATTTGGGATCCCTATGACCACCTGATTTTTTTTTCCGAGGAATCCTAAGGATTGGATGGCTAACCATCCAGCAAATGGGAGGATGATCGCATTTTTTTGGGACCTGAACAGCAACCAATGGATTAGATTCTTATGAGATGTTATGAGCTGATTCGATTCTCGCAGTTTTGAAAGATATATGTGCAGTGTACCGATGTTTTTGGCGTATATAGATACACCACTTATTTGAGTTTATCTTGTGGGTGGCTCGACAACGGACGTGTTTGGAAAAAATCAGGGCTCTATCGCAACGACCCAAAATATGACAATTCCCCAACGATGGCCCACATGATCTGCATTTGCCTCAGGCTTCCCATATCTTCCAAACATTGTAGGATATAGTTATATATATATATATATCTATTAGTCATGATGTGTCAGTGTAGTATTTTTTATCTACCCAAAGCAAAATACTGCATATATTATCATATATTTATATACATCCCCATCATATACCCAAGGCTAGCGGCATCTTCAAGGTGTCTCAACCACTGCCAGGCATGAGCGGCTTCGCACGCGGCGTTTGCACCCTGCGACGCATGACGCGCATGACGCTGCGCTTTCGGTGGTGCCCACGGATCACGGAGCAGTCGATGGTGGTACCTGGAAATCAACGACCAGCTGGTGCCACCCCAGTTATGTTGCTGCGTAAAGCCCGTTACAGATATAGGGCCGGGGGGTTCCCTTAAAATAGGGGTAGCTTCAAATGATTCGAGCCATTTTCATGACCTTAAATAGGTTGAAACAACCTATTGGTTTTGGGGATCGCCATTTTAAGACACCCCCATAAAGTGTGTGTTTGGATGGGTCAAAGCCTATTTTTCTCCATGCTTCTGGAGGGATGATCCCATGCATGAGGGCAGATGTGAGTTGGATGAAGCCATTCTGAATAGTGATGGGAATAATCAATCCATTTTCACTTTGGAATGATATATCCATTACATTCGACTACTGTTTTTTTGGAATTCCCTTTCTGGAATGGATTACCATAAACCCCATATCATCGGTTGGGATTATATTTGTTCAATAGCTATGTTAGTTTACCAGAGGGTATCTGACCAGGACCATTTCAACGTCAAGGATTGGGTTTGCACCCAAACGTTGTGTTTTCGGAGTTTTTTTCAAAGGGTTTTCGCTTAGCAAACACAGATCAAAACAATGCTTCAAGGTCATTGGCAAATCAACATGTGTGTTTGTCTAAAAATATGGTACTCCAACCTGTGGATGGTGCAAAAAATGATTTTTGCAGCCCCCTTAGGCCCTTAGGAGTTCATCAAAATGTCCTGCAGTTTAGTGGAAGATTGCCATCCGATTCATGCCCCGACCAAGATGCTTGGGGAAGCCTGTGCAGCCCTTCCTCTGCAAAAACTTCAGCTGGATTTCTCCAAGTGCCAGGCTTTGAGACGACACCATGCAGCAGGGAGCTTGCGGGAGGTTTCTTGTTAGGATGCATGTTCTGTGTATTAGGACTTATTAGGACTACCCTCTGGTAATTTAATATAGCTATTGAAAATGACCATAGAAATAGTTTATTTTCCCATTAGAAATTGCCATTTTCAATAGCTATGTTAAATTACCAGAGGGTAGAACATATAAAGGAAAGTCGATTTGTTGTTCATTACTTGCATGGATTAAGGATGATTAAGGCGAATCTTCTAGACGGGATGGGAACTTTTTTGGGCCCTGTGTGACAAGTTCCACCAATTTGACCCCCGCCAATTGCATGGTTTTTGTCTGCATACTAGAAGGTGTACCGCATTTGTACATTTTTTCCAACCCGCGCAGCATCATTACCAACAAGATTGTATGACATAGTATGAATTATATTTGACATAATATATGTATATTCATATGTTTCTGACACATTGTCTTCGAAATAAAATAAACTTGACGATGACTAACAACATGATACAATCACTACCTTTCTTTGTTGATATGTTAAGTTCATCAGCATTCTACTTTGATTCCTCTTCATCATCAACAACAACATGACTTTCATCCGTGTCTTTCATGAGCTATATGGGGTCTCCCAAAAGATATGAAACACTGAATAACGATCAAAATAGTGGGATTGTGCATGTGCGTATATACTATGTTGCTGTGTATATGAATATATATATATATTATACATATACATGAAACTTTTACTGTATATATATATAAGTTTCATACATACATACATACATACATACATACATACATACATACATACATACATACATACATACATACACACATACATACATACACACATACACACATACACACATACACACATACACACATACACACATACACACATACACACATACACACATACACACATACACACATACACAGATACACACATACACACATACACACATACACACATACACACATACACACATACACACATACACACATACACACATACACACATACACACATACACACAGACAGACAGACAGACAGACAGACAGACAGACAGACAGACAGACATACATATATACATACATACATACAGACAGACAGACATACAGACATACAGACAGACAGACAGACATACAGACAGACAGACAGACATACAGACAGACAGACAGACATACAGACAGACAGACATACATACAGACATACATACAGACAGACAGACAGACATACAGACAGACAGACATACAGACAGACAGACAGACATACATACATACAGACAGACAGACAGACATACATACAGACAGACATACATACATACATACATACATACATACATACATATATACAGACACATTTATCACAAACTTCATGCCTCATTTTAAAACGCACTGTCAAGTTTTCCTGGGAACATCCGAGGTCTCCCAAATGTGGTGCTCTTGGACTTGGGGGTGTAGGACTGAGGTGAAGAAAATGGATATAATACGGTATAACCGTACAACACCCACTTGAGTCAGCCACTATTTGATAAAACTTGTAGTTTGATGGTCGCAAAGCCAGTCTATAGTCCATAATCGATACCTAGGCCAAGTAGGATCTATGGTCTATGTTAGATATTAATGACCTATTTCATGTAAGTTTTTTTCTCAAGTTTTGAGGGTTTTTTCTTATCCAGCTTATAGTGAAAAAATGCAAAAAAAACACCTCCCAGTTGCCTAAGGAGAAGTGGCCATGCGCTATTCAGGTCCCAGCCAGGTGGAGATCCGAAGAAAAAATTGTGTTGGACATGGATTTTGCCTCAGAGTTTAGGGGAGCAAAATGAGCAAAAAACCCAGAATCCTATGGTGAATCATCATTTTTGACATGAACATGGTCATAACTTGAGGCTATAGCCTATTTTCAAACACGCCCAAATGCTTTTGATGCATCAAAGATGGGGATTTAAAGCAACAACTCAGATCCAAGACAGAAAATGCGAGCTTCAGCTTGAACTTGGATGTTGAAACCCATGAAATTCTTGATTTTTTGGAGGGTTCATCATGTTTTACTAGTTTGAGTTTTTGGAAGCCTAGTGCCTGTCAGATCGCCCGTGCGAGGTGGTGCTTGAGCACTCCGTCTTTCACCGTGTGGCAGCGGAGGAGGAGTTGGTGCCCAACGCAGACGCGAGGACCAACAGAGACTGGGTGAAGTGGTGTGACGCCAGATTTTACCCTCTGCTACGCAATAACGCAGCTATGGAAAATCGCACTTTTTTTCATAGGTAAGTCATCATAAACCATGTATAAATAAGCCATTTTCATCCATTTTCTAGATCGACGTTAAATTCATGCTAATGCTCTGTGCCTCCGTGAGTTGCGCCCCCTTTTTTTTTAAAGGTTTTTGGTTCCAGTTTGGAGGCGCGCACTGGAAACAAGGCGCGCAAATAATCACAAGGCGCGCAAGGATTTATTTAAAATAACCAGGTGGTATATTTTTTTCAGGATATTTGGATGAGTATAGTTGGTAGGGGTCCATATTTTTAGGGGAGACCACAGATGTTGGATGATTTTGGCCCATGTAATGGTATATTTCGATATATTTTTCTATATATCTCTGAGATTTGGTGGTATAAATATGGTATATACCAATCATTTTTTGGGCGCCCGAAGTCTTGACTCTTCCCAGGTTTTTTTCGCCTGTTGGTGATTTGAATCTCAGGCTTGTTTTCAGTTTTCACGTTTTCCCAACACCTGGGGATGCCTGGGATGTAGGACTTCATCCAATGATGATGCTGAAGAACAGATCTTAGGTGGGCCCATGGGATTTGTGGCGGACCCGGAAAAAAACTCATGGCGCAACTCATGGAGGAGACCACTCCGAGTCAGGGGTCACAGTTTTTCAGACTCATCTTGCAGATTTGGTCTGTTTGAGTATTAAACCATTATTGAAGCATATTGAACTCTCCAATTTTGAGATCATTGTGCAACTTTGACCAGTCCTTTTGTGTGATGGAACCTACACTTGATACCCTAAAAAAACGAGGCCGTGCTTCGGGAAGCAGGCCATTTTGAGCGCCAATCTTCGGTTTTTCAGGATATTGGGGTGTTTCCATTCATAGGGGGTAGCCCTACTGGATGGTAATGAAAAGCCAATGATAAAATGGATGAGAACTGAGGGTACCCCCATTTTAGGACACCAGGTTGTTTCGTGTTTTGAAGTCTCAAAGGGACAGACGCTAGACACATCCCCACCGTGCTGGTTCCCTGTGTCGAGGCTTGTTTCGAAGAGTGGGAACGGAGACCCTGAGCCCAGAGCCTCTTGGCGACGGAAATGGTTCCAAGTCAGACCCACCGGTTGCAAGGGGTACCCCCCGGTGTAACAGCGCTGGCTGGGAAATCTTCCAACTAAATGGAGGTTTTAATGGTGGATTTTCCATTGCCATGTTTGATCACCAGAGGGCAACTTTGACCTTTTTTGAAGTTGTTTCAATCTCCTAGCCATGAATCAAACTGAATAATTTGCCATTTGGGGGTTCTTGGGAATCATTCCCAAGTTGGAGTTCATTCTCGGCACCACATGACTTAGTTTTTGCTTCGGTGGCTTTTGGAGTCCAATCTTAGCCGTTCCGAGGGAGGAATACGATGATACGCATACATCATGTACAAGAAGCATCAAGAAAAAAATCAAGGGTGAATTGATAGCTCCAGGACAAGCACACAATCATTAATGTCAACCCCGGATTAATAAACCATGGTTTATTAATTGGGGGGTACTCCTCCAATAGTCATAATCTGATACTTAAATGGTACCCCCCCAATTAAACAGCCTAGGGGTCCAGGGTTGACATTATTCAACAAACATCAACAAACTATGTTATTGAATGTTGTCTCAAGGTGGCCATAGTCAACAATCAAGGTCTTTGCCCCAACCATGGCTTGCTTACATAGCTTTCAACCATGTTACCACGGGTACCATTGCATGTGAGACACTCTTGGCATAATTGCTCAAATTTTGGACGGCCTCTAAGGCTTTATTCTGAAGTCGGAAGACAGACTCATGTCACCCCATTTCTAGTGGTTTTCAGAAAACATCCCGTGTTTGTGGATTATATCATTTCTCCATCATCATTGAGACTGTTCATTGATTGGTTGGTTAAAGTGATAAAAAACGTGTTACCATCCCATGCCCCGATCTTTCCGAACGGGCGAACGGGGAACAGCCCCCTAGCGTCCAGCCATCACAGGAAATTGTTCTCAGTGTTGCAGAAGCTGCATCCCGAGCTCTCAAAAGAGAGTTTCTTGGTGTTTTTCAGAACACGGGCGAGTCTCTTGGGCGCCGAACATATGTCAGACACACATTTTTTTTTAAAAAATAACATTTTTATAAACTGTTGAACTTTTTTATCCCCACACTAATCGGGATACCACAAAAAATTCAACTTTTCTGCGAGCTGAAGCAACAAAACATGGTGGGATTTTGTGGTGTGAGTTTCAGGTATTTTTTTGACAGAGGAATATGCCAATTACCCTCTGGTAAACATACAAAAAGCTATGGAAAATCACCATTTGGAACAGGTAAATCAACTGTAAATGAGCCATTTTAATAGCTATGTTAGTCATTACCAGAGGGTATCCTGCTTAGAATCCAATATCTCTTCGCGGGTGTCTATCTTCACAGTAGCCGTGAACACGGTCGAACTGGATTTCTTTGGCAATTTGTGTCTGGATTGGTTGTCTTGCCCCCACAGATAGATTTCGGCCATTTGTGGTATATAGATATCTGGAAGCCAGTTACTATACTTGGATGTGCATCCCAGCTGGCAAGTGGTTCACAAATTGTGGCTAGTTCGGCCGAGTTGTAAAGAGCTTATCATGCAGTGATGCACATCCATATAGGTGACCTTGGCTATCGGTGGACGGGTGAGCACATGGCTGGCAGGATATTAAGGTGGTCTCACCAATATGTGCCATGGTCACAACTAGGGTAAATTGAGGATGGTCATCAATCCATTTTCATAGGGATTTATACACCCATTGTCAGTTTTCACCATAATGGAATAGATGACCATACCCCATCTGCCCTATTTATATATTTATTATATTTATACATGTTCTTGATTATATGTATACATAATATTGATAATATCATATCATATTACATAATATCATTTTATATCATATCATGTTACATGATATCATTATAAATAATATATTACCTTATGCTATATTACATATTATGTTATATTATGTTATATTATAGTATATTATATTATATTTTGTTTTATTATAGTATATTATATTATATTGTTTTATTATATTATATTAAATTATATTTGTATTGTATTATATTTTATTATACAATATACTTTTTTTTTAATGATACTATATCATGTTATGCTGTATTCAATTATACTATACTAGGTCATTAATTATTATCTTATGCTACATTATATTACATTATATTATATCATACAATATTTTATTATGTTATATATTATATTATATTATATTATACTGTACTTTACTACATTGTATTATATGATGATATATTATATTTTAATATACCAAATTATATTCTATTTTATATTCCATCATATCATATTATAATTCACTATGTTATACTATTTTATGGTTTATTGTTTTACAGCTTATCATATTGTTATTTTTAATGTTATATTTTATATTGTAATGTATATTATTTTTTTTTTAATGTTATATTATACAATATTATATTGTACTTTATTATTTTCTATACTATCCTATATTATACTATGCTTTATTATATAGTAATATACTATATGTAAATGTACTATAACTTAGCTGAATCCCAAAAGCTTCCAGGGCTTCTGTCTATAGGAGCTGACGAGGGAGTACGTATACATATCCTAAGTGGCCGCGCATGCAAAACATATGTAAAACTCATATGAAACATAGATTTTTGCGTTGGTGGAACGTATGTGATGCGTATGTGAAGCGTATGTGCAGCGCAAGTGAAAACATATGTGAGCCGTATGTGAAATATATGTGAAACATATGCGAAATACATGTGACATATTAACGTATTTTGGGACTGGATTGCGTTGTGTTTATGTTTTACTTATGTATACGTTTGCGAATTTATGCGTTCTTTTTGTGTCGGAGGAAAAATAAGACCCTATTTTGTGCAAATCCCGCAAAATAAGGCCTTATTTTGGAACGCACGTAAAGAAAACATAAACAAAACGCAAACGAGAACGCAAACACATTTTGTAACGTTTGTGTTTGTACATGTGTATATGGTTTATGTTTTATTTATGTCGGGAGAAAAATAAGACCTTATTTTGGGCAAATAAGGCCTTATTTTATCGCTTACGAAAAAGAAACTCAAACAGAAACATAAAGAAAACAGCTAGTAGCCGCAATTTCTGGATATGTCGGGAATATGCGTTTTGTTTGCGTATTTGAAGCCGTTTATGTATGCGTATGCGCAGGCCAGTCCAAGACGGGCTCTATTGTGAAAGCCTTTGAAACCCTGCTAAACTATAACATACCTTTTACGATACTGTTATATATTTACTTTGTATTATATCATATGCTTGAACTATACTATATCATTATATATTATGTCATACTTTACTATATTATATTTTATGATATTTTAGTTTCTTATAATATATTGTATTATACTATGCTATTCTATATAATATATTATATTATATCATAGTATATCATTTCGTATCATATCATAATATAATGGATGATAACATACAGTATCATATTTCATCATGTTTTAATCATACTAAATTACATTATATCATATTATATCGGATAATTATAACACATTATAGCATATTATATCATATCATATCATATTCTGTATATCATGTTATATCATATTATATGTCATACTATATTATACTATACTATACTCTACCTTATTGTATTATTTCATATCATACTATATTATATTGTATTGTTTCATTTTATCATTTTATATCATATAATATCATATTCTATTATATTAAATTATTTCATGTTATACTATATGATTTCATTTTTTACATATTACTATAATATACCATACTATGTTAGACTATATTATATAGTAATATTTTATATTATATATTAAATTATATTATATTATATATTATATATTATATTATATATTATTTTATTATATATTATATTATATTATTATATTATATATAATATAATATAATATAATATATTATATTATATTATATCATTGGATGATGATTCCTTGTTTGGAAAGCCAGGCTTCGATGCGCTTCTGCGTGCCTCAGATCATGGGGACAGCGAAGGCTTCCTCCACTGGCTGCTGGCGGAAAAAACGCGTTGCGAAGCATTGACAGAAGTAATGGGTTTATCGCTTGTCCCTATAAACAATAAGATATATATATATATATATATGTATATATATATAGGTCTATAAATAGATAGATAATCTATTTCTATTATAGATATCCTTACCCTCTGGTAAATGAACTTGTTGACCCTGAAAATCACCAATTTTTAATGGAAACTAGTCTTCCAACCCCGATGACTGCCAGGGTCTATGTTAATTTACCAGAGGGTATCATAAACAATAGGTATATCATCCATCATACCTATAAGTATTGGTTGTTTTTTGCTCCCTAAATTCATGACGTTTATCATCAACAACCATCAACCATCATGAGGATTCAGCCAGATTCGTGTTTGGGATGCTCGGATTGAAACGGATTTTCCTGTAGGACTTTTGGGACGTCTGTGATTTTGAGCTCTAACCGGAGAATGCTGCCTCAGATGCCATATCCTTAGCTTTCCAGATCTTAGGATGCCATCTTCCAGCCTGAATCATAGAGGAAACCAGCTAGACGGGGTAGACTCGGGTAGACATGGAGAAATTGTACAGTAAATCAACTGTATCTGCTTGGTTAACCCACTTTGTATCATTTTGCCTCTTGTGGCTGGAGAGTTGGAGTTGCCTGTAATACTTCCTGCTCAAGATCTATGCAATGGAAGATGCTGTTTCCAAGCTTGAACCATGGACAATCTGCCCAAAAAACATCAGCCCAATCAGCTTTCTCCAGTCACACTACATAAAAAGGTGGCATCATGATCATGATGAAATGGAAGTGCTTATCCTCGAAGTGAGTCTTATCCTCATTTCAGCGACTAAAAATCAGCTTTCATCCCCCCACGTGAGTTTTTTTTTCAGCGCCACGGAACATCACTGACATCCCATTGGCGTCCGCCATGCCGCGCTTGCGTTCCGGAGATCCGGTGATCATGGATCCAAGGGATGCCATGGAGGCTCTACCAGGGATCCGTGGGGGGATGAGACCAGAGGATGGACCGGGACGGACAACACTTCCCACTTGTTCTGTCCAGTTCTGTCCAGTTCAGGTGTTGAAATTTCCGAGATGAATGATGAATTCAGGATGGAACTTGAACTTTCCCAAGGTTGGAGCTGCACAAATTGGGTGTGACTGAAATGCTGAGGTGGCTGCTTGGTAGGAAACGAGCTGTCAAGTCAATGCTGGATTTGTTTGTGTAGGAAATGTCATCGTCTAGCTCCGTCAGAGCTAAAGAGACTTGGGAAACTACGCTAGTTGTGGAGAGCTGTGTATTTGTGCATTGTTGATGGGGTTTGTACATGTTTGTACCTGTATCCGGTAGTGAGAGATGGGTACACTAGCGGAACCATGTGGTCATGTTGGTAAAGCCACATATCCTTGACATTCTCTTAATTGGATACTCAAATACATGTTGGTTTTCCAGTTGATACAGTACCCCACACACTGTAGACCCGCCTGCAGCGGGATGGGTGATATACCTAGATCTATAGTATATTTTAGATATGTATATATTACCGGTTGGTGGTTTGGAACATGGCTTTTAAAATTTATTTTTCCATTCAGTTGGGAATTTCATGGAATTTCATCATCCCCAATCTGACGAACTCCATCATTTTTCAGAGGGGTAGGTACACCACCAACCAGATATCTATGATTTTCCCAGCTACAAACCCATAGAAATAGATGCTTCACCTATTAATAGCATGGTGATTTTCCATGGCTATGTTAGTCACAACCAGATGGTATATATATATAGATATATCACCAAAACGCTGTGGACACTGCTGTGTCCTTTCCCGGGATGAGCCGCAGGTCAGCAAATGCCTAGTGAAGATGGCACCTCCCAAGGCCGAAGAGAAAAAACTGGGACATCTCCTGTTGATTTGGAGCTTTGAATGGGAAAATATGGGAAAATCGTCTATGAATTGAGATCTGAATGGGAACATCATTGACATGGGGGATGTTTTTCTTTGCCACTTTTGAAACCCCACAGGGCAGTAGCGGCTCGTTTGGTTGCAACCCATGGCAGATGCCCCCAAAATTGGGATATGTACTGCAAATACTGGGATTTTCCTTAAGAACATGCAATCGCCTGTCCCAAAGAAATGTTTTTTTGGGAGACCACCCTGGGCCATGATTCTGTGAATTTTAAATTGGTTTCGCATTTTAAATTCCAACTGGCAAATTCGGATAGTTAGGATAGTTGTTAATAAGTTTTGATTTTTCAATTTTCTTTCAATTGCCATGATACATTACATATAGATTTTGTCGCTGTGGTGTCCAAGCAGCTGCAAGGGTGTTCATTTTATTAATGGCTGAGGGGTTCCACTCTGACCCCTTGATTCTTTAGAGATTTGTGTATTTGGTTTCCTGGGTGGTGATTTTTTGGGTGTCAGACCCCCATGCCAGGCCCAGAGGTGACATGTAGACTCAACCGTATATGAGCAGCAGAAATCGTAAAAGGGGTATGGTCCATATTTATGATCGGGTTGAGTGCGCAGTACTAGCGTCTTGCGCCCCCTAGTAAACTAACATAGACTGTGGAAAACACAACTTGTTCTTGTAGGACATGATCGAAATGATGATTCATACATAGACTATCCATATTTCCTTGTATAGCTATAGCTGTTCTGGGTGTTGATAGGTTTTTCATGTTTTTTCTCTAAATGATCAATTCAGAATCACCCGGAAACCTGGTAGTTTTCTATCCCTGGTCATTTGCAGGGCATCCCTACTACTGCGGAGACATGGCGACCTCTCTGGAAGAATTCCAGCAATCCGTACCAATTCGTGCGGAAACTCAGTGCCGGATCCGTCCCAGATGACTTGTTAAAGGGGAAATCGAGGAGAAAAGCATGGTTTCTTGGGTCATCATTTTAGTTTTGAGACCCGACTTTTCAATAGTCAATATATATATATATATGTATAATTATATTATATATATACAGCTTGATTTAGGGATATTTCGGGGACATTTTACTGGATGTTATAGAAATATCCACACGAAACATCACGATTTTCTCACCTTGTAGGGAAGAGCGAACTTCACATGGCTGGCCCTCTCTATCCAAAATCGCAATTTTCGATACAAAAAAAACCATGGTTGGTAGAGAAAATCCTTATAAATCCCCATATTTTAATGGGTTCAATTCCCGTTTTTGAGCAGTCTTGATGGGTAAAAGTGGTTAAGCCGTTTCCAAAGCTTTGGTCTTGCATTTCATCCTAAAATGCAACATTTTTTGCAGTTCAGGACCGGCAGTACTTGCAGACCATTGAAATCGCCCGTCTGCGGATGATGGAGAAGCAGCAAGACCGTAGGTGGTGACAGGGTGGGAAGTTTGGATTCGTGCACCTGGGTGAAAGACTGAAGTACTACGGGGATATTTTTTTGTGGAATAGATTCCCTCATTCTAGTTCTGAGTTGTTGATATCTCATATCACCAACTAAAATGATGGATTTTCTTTAACAACTGCACAACATAGTTATAGCCTATAGGGTGAATTGCGGCCGGATCAGGTTCCAGGATGTGAGGAATCGTAGTTGGATGGCCAGGCACATTGGGAGGTCCCAAATGTCACGGAAAAAAACCTGGAAATGGCAGTGCTGCACTACCTGGGGCCTGTTTACTTTGAGTGTCACAGACTGGCAACCAGGGGGAAATATCTCCAAGCACAATGATTGTGCATTGTTATAATATAGTGTTATAGTTTATCCAAATCCCATGATACATCTTTCAGCAAGATTCAGATCTGCAGCCGCTGATGCTTTTCGAAGAGATGAAGGTGAAAAGCGCAATGCTGAAGTTGATGTGTGTATTTTCTCTTCCCAGAATAGCGGATGGTTACAACACAAACACGTGGCTATTATACGTCATAACACAACAGGCGCATAACATAAATCCTAGATGTCAATCATAATATCTGTTTGCTTCTTTATACCGCCAACTTAGAGAACTTGAAAGTTGGGGTTTTCTGATGAGGTCATACCAGAAAATGGCACCCTGCCTCATTTGAACTTATCCTTTGTGTACATCCCCCCAGTCGTCAAACTCTTAATGACTCGTTCACCCATGGGATTCCCTTCTTTTCGCTCCAAAATCGACGGGATTTATGGGTTGAAAACATGGGATTGATATGGATGGTTTATGGTCATTCGAGTCATTCATCCCTATAGAATGGATGATTCCCATCCCCCATCCCGATCGCCGTTGATCGAAGCGCATGGTGACCTGGCGGAAGCGCGCGGCCAGCTGGCACGAGAGCTGTTCCAAGCGCCTGAAATCTCTGCGGTCCGGGCCGTCCTCGCTCTCGGCGACGCCCCTGTAGCTGGGCCGAGTTAAGGATCACCCGAGGGTTACTGATGGCACTGTAACTGGGGATATCTAAATGGTGGGAGAATCATTTATAAAGGTCGATGTTCAATTACCACGTTTCATACTTTGAGATTACGTGGTTGGATCACCCCACAAATCGAAACTGGTGAACGTAGCTGAAGTGAAAAAAACCATTGATTGATCCGATAATCCACTGAATGATCCTCCAAGTGGAGATATCCAAATCTAATCCAGCATGGTATTGTGGTGGATTTGGGGAAACATGTGGTTTGGCTGCAATTCAAGTTCTGGAGATTGTCAGGAAATATTGGTTGATAGATTGTTGGATGTTTTTTTGTTCTACTGCATCGTTGATGTATTTGAAATATTTTGAAATGACCGGCCTGCTGCGGGAACGCTGCCCCCAACCTGCATGGTGGTATCAGTGTGATGAGAACAAGATCGCTTGGTTCTAGGTCAGAAACGTGAGTAAGCGACCCCCCACTGCTTCACCCCATTCTGCCATGGTTGTTTTGTGCCAAGCGCTAGAATGGTAAATTGAGCCAGATGGGTATGTATGAGTCAAATTTCAGACATAGGAAATCACACATTTTGGTCATGTTCAATCTCGACCATCCAGTGTTTCGGTTTTCTATTTTGACCCAAAACCAAACAACCAACGTTGTGGTTTCTTTGCCAGGGGAAGGGCTCAAGAACAAAATGAATCCCCAAATTGTATGGTTAAATAGTCATTAGAAATAGTGGCACACCGTATCTTGGTCCGTTGGTACTCCAATTTGGGTCGTCATACGCATCTACTAAAACCCATCTTCAGCCTAGTCTCACCTTCAGGTTCACAGACAGCAGCTTGGATTCCACGGCTCTCATGGGGAATTCGGCGGGTGGGAAGCTGCGAAAATGCTGTCAGGGCAGATTTGCAGACATCTTTGTTCTTCCAAACTGCATTAGATAAATATATGATAAATATATAGATATGATTTTATAAAGATTTACACATATCATATATCATATATCATACATATATACATATATTATACCTAGCAAAGTTGGTAGAGGTCTAGGGAGATTGATGCTCAACTCTGTACTCTATAATAATCTAGTATCGTTTGTAGCGCAGGATCATCACGGAACACAAGCAGTGCTTGAAACCACCTCAGGGTTGCTTCCTTTCAAATGGCCTTTTGACGGTATACCCCATACTTCAGTTGGTACACTATACATTTTTTTTGTCTTTTTGTTTATTAACTCTTCTCTATATTTGGTTATTAGTTATGTATATCCACAAAAAAATATGTGAAGTTACTAAGACTTAGTAAGATTTCTAGATTCCTCTGATTATACAGACATTCTTCAAACAATGGATCGCCATGGAGCCATGGAGAGATTTCTGGTTGGTGGTTAATATCTGGTGAAAAAAGTGATGGCTAATAGTGGTTTTCATAGGGTTTTTGAACCAACAGCGATGGAAATATGATGGTTATATATATGGTTGGTGGTTTGGAACATGGCTTTTATGACTCTCCATTCAGTTGGGAATGTCATAATCCCAACTGACGAACTCCATCATTTTTCAGAGGGGTAGGTATACCACCAACCAGTTATGATATCCTACGGTAGCCAAGAATTAAATCCCCATGTTACACGTCACACGTCAGGTACAGAGGAGAACTTTCCTTGTCGTTATGGAGATGAGGTCTCACGGTTGCACAAAAAAAACCGGGCTCGCCGTCTTAATTGTGTGGAAATCTGGAAAATCGTAGGGGTTTAGCAGTGTTTATAGCCTTCAACAACGGGAAACCTTCATCCAGAAATGCTGGATGGTGGATGATGAAATATCTTGTTTTTTTTTTTTTTCCGACCTCACGGATGGCGACGTCACTTCAATGATGGTTTGAATTGAGGAAACTATCTCCAAAACGGCCGAACTTGTCATGCTGGTGAATTGTTTTAAATTGATTCAGCCACTTACATGGCAATAAATCATCAAAGATTCTGATAGCTATGTTTCTATGATTATATATATATAATATATATATATAATATATATATATAATATATATATATATAATATATATAATATATATAATATATATATAATATAATATATAAAATATATATATAATATATATATAATATATATATATAATATATATATATAATATATAATATATATATAATATATATAATATATATATATGCCATATAGCATTGATTTGTTGGTGATGTGTTGCTTGGTAAACCATGGTAAACCTGGTGAGTGGAAGGTTGACCGGTTACTTAAAAACGCCCCTTCTGACGGAATTTGAGGTGCTACTTGGATGCGAATCCCAGTTCATGCAGTTCCCAGTTCCCCTCTGGTTATTTAACATAGCCATGGAAAATGGCCCATTTATAGATGGTTTACCTATTAAAAATGGTGATTTTCCATGGCGATGTTAAACAACCGGATGGCAATGATCATTTTCTTCTTTAAAATTGCCACTCGGAGGTCTTCCATGGTACTTGCCATTTGCAGACAGGGCCTAGAAATTCAGAACATTCCAGACAGAATCCCTCCACTTTTTTTCATTGCTGACGCAAATAGTGTCCAGCATTTTGCACTACACCGGTTGCACCGTTACACCGGTTGCACCGGTTACACCAGATACACCGATTACATCCGGTTACACCGTTACACCGGTTGCACCGATATACCGGTTACACCGATACCGGTTACACCGTGTCAGGGTATCAGCGTATCAGAGATTGTCCAGATTTTAGTCCGACAGTTGGACCATTTTTGTCACATCAACCAGCCTTTTTCCATGCCCCTTTCGTGTCGTCTAGGTGGTCTCTGAGAGCAGTTGCTTTATCTTATTGGAAGGTGCTCGTGCTCTGGTGCGGTTTGTGGCTTTGACATCCCCATAGTGGGATAACTATATGGATAACTGGTGAGAATTAATTGCTTACTACTTACTATATACTAAATAACTATGGTTATCTGTTATGGTCAATATATTGGTTACTATATATGAGAATTGGATAACTATGGTTAATATCCGTTGTATATCCGATGTGGTGTTTCGGAAAGAGCTGCCAAGGAGCTACGTATGACTATCGATATATTCCCAACAAGACGCTGTGGGGAGCCAAGGACCAACGAACTCTTCATAGAACCTCGGTGTTTTGGCAATCGTGTTCAGACTCAACTTCCTAAAACTGTATTGGTTTGTCCAAACCTGATATAAATATATATATAATACATATATCATATATTTATGTATATGTATGCACATATATAAATAAATACATATATATATATATATTTGTATATGTCAAAAAATGGCCATGTGAATATACGAAACATGATGGTCAACCATTGGACCCCGCCAAAAAAAAACTGGCAAACTCCCCATGGAAGATGCCAAAAGTCGGTGGTTCTACCTGGTGCAGTCGGGGCTATTCAAGATCCCATCTGAGCACCCCATGGTAGTATTAACCTCCATGAGTTGGGAGACAAGCCCTATAACTATGTTTATATACATATCCACAAACTGGAAATGGGGTTCAAATTATTGACTATGCCAAAACTAGTCACCTTTGGATCACCTTCCCATTTGGGGGAAGTTGAAACATCTTGACAGATACTCAAAAGAAACCCATGGTACCCACTACTTGTCCTCAATAAATCCTACATAGTGGGGCCCCCTAGTTATAAGTTTAGAACCCCCATCTGTAACTCAAAAAGATTAACTGTCGTGAACTAAACCAACTCAGCCACCTGGGGGGGCCCAACATAGCCTACCTCTGCGCCGCGCCAGGTCTTGGTTCCGGAGCTTTCGGGCAGGTGGTGCGCTGCGCCGCGGCACCCAAGACGGCCGGAGACGACGCTGGTTGCGACGGATGGCGCCGTGTGCGCCATGCAAGCCACGTGCGCCATGCAAGGCCGGTGGCGTTGAAGATTCTGAAGCACAAGGTGCGGCACAGGTTTTCTCTTCGGCATTTCTTAAGAGATCTACGAATTAAAACTATCTAAAACTCTTGACCTGCATCTCGATTTCTTTGGGCATATCAACAAAATCATCGAGTCCGAACCGAACGCAGCCGATTTTTGGGGGTTGTCTGAAAAAATTGGGAAAAACAGAAAAATCCATGGATTAAAACCTCATTTTTCCCTCTTGTAAAAGGGCTATTTTAGGAACCCGAAGTTATCATCCAAGCTATTAATCTTGTTCATGGGGAACCAATGGTGGAAAAGGGTAACATCATTTTGGGAAACAGCCAGCTGGTGAAGTGCTTAGCAACCCATTCTCAGTTAGTCCCTAGCTAGGTTACAATGGCTATTGAGTGGGTAGACCTTCTTCGAGTAATTTTTTATGGATATCAGCCTGGTGGCATCCGAAAAAATGGTCCAGGTGCGGTATTGGAGGCTTGTCAAGCTTGTGCATGTGAATCTCTACAGGACATCATCATCACTGTCACAGAAATCCCAAAGTAAATCATGCAGTGCAAAACAGCCTTGGTTTGATGGTTCCAAGGCTAAACGGTTTGGGACCGCGACAGGATTTTTGTGCGGAAGTGGCACTGGAAGCCGAAGAAGAAGCGAAGATCCTCCGGGAGCTGCACCATCCTCACATCGTGGCTCGGAGCATTTGGTGTACAGCCAGGAAACCCGTCGTTGGACCGGATGAGGCATGATAAATATTCATCAATTTCTTTGGGTTTGCCTACCAGCTCTCACAGCTCTCGTCTCGACGTTTTCAAGCAGTTTTCAGGTGCATGGTAGGGAACAACCCAATTATGAATGGCTTGATGATATCTGATGATCCCAAAGCAGCAGGTGTCAGATTCCCAGTGCTTCTTGCTCTTCAAGTTGATTTGAGAATAAGGTTATCCCCAAATCCAATGGATAAAAGTTAAAAACATCATTTTCCTTAAGTTACACGAGCAATTCTTGGGCATCCCCTCCATTTTCAGACAGTTCCATTTGAATGTCTTATCTTTTATATGTTTGATAATTTATCCTCCAGCAATCAAACATGGCGATTGAACATCCCCTGTAAACTGAGGCATTCATGGGAAAATCAACTAGAAATGGTGGATTTTCAACCCAGCAATGCTTGATGACCGGTTCAAAATTACATCCCACTAAGCGATATTTTTTAAGGACTTAAAAGGTAGGAATGTCCCATGATTATCCCGTCAAATCCCATTGATGTAGTCTTTTCACCAACCCAGTTCATCCCAACTAATGATGGATTGACATTTTAAGTGACAGTGGAACTGAGTGATTCAGCGATTTCATGAAATCCCATGAAATCCCATTAAATCAACCCAGTTGTCAGGTCCAAATGTTGGATTTCTTCGAATTCCGCGGCCACCTTTGTATCGCGCTGGCGGCCCGGCGATTTGTTGAAACAAATGTGATTTGCGGCAGGGTAAAAGTGTGTTTAATTAATGGTAGGGTTTAGTTATTTTTCAACACCCTCTGGTCATTGAACGTAGCTATAATAATAGAAAATCACAATTGTCAATTGGTAAATTCTTAGGTAAGCCATCCAGAAATGGACCATTTTCCATAGCTATGATGTTTCTTTGACCACTGGCAAGAGCGTTGAGTTCGAGGTCTTGGGATTTTGTACCAGTACCAAGCATATTATCTGTGTATGCGTATGGGTCAATATTGAGTATACCGACATAAAAAGGACCAGACAATTTGTGGGTACTTGCATAACTTGTTGATCCAAAGCCATGTCATGTCTATCATGGTGTATCTGAAAATGGGGTATATCCCCCCATAAGTGGCAATTTTGATCTCTCATCAGGTAAGTTGGTGCCCCCCCGGTGATGTTGGAATTTGTTGCCAACTAACTAACTATAGACCATTGTATATATAGACCTATATATGATGATATAATTACACAATATAATATATCTACCGGAAACTGAGATATAAACCAGAATGGGGTATATTCCGGACGAAGTTAACCATGGATGCAAATCAACTTAGCTGATGGTATACAGATATATCAATATATCTACCATAGACCATAGTTCTCTACCTTATTCGTACCAACTTAACGCCTTCGAAACTGGGGAGTGGACCATGTGACCATCTTGTTGCGACAGGAATTACTGGGTCGCAACTTGTACGAGTTGATCACGGAGCACAATGGACTTCTGTCGATTCAGCTGGTACAGCAGGCCACATACCAGGTCTTGCTGGCTTTGGAATACCTGAAACTTGGCAGTTAACATGGGGGGAAATCTATCCACTACGATGAAGGGAATCGATCTATTGGGAATATATGGAGGTTTTCCAAAATGGTGAATCATAGAATTGGATGGGAAAATTTTAACCGGAAAGCCCTATATTTGATGGTAAAAACAATGGTAAAAACCATGGTTTCCTGTAGATTTTCCCTTAAACCATGGATCCCCAGTCGTCACCACAGGTGAACGCGGTGAACCACAAAGTCCACCGGTCATCACGACTGGATGAGAAGTGGGGCCCCATGACGTTGGAACGATCCTGAAATCCCCAGGGAGGTCACAAACATCATCCCAGTTTAACCCAGTTTTAGGGATATATTCTGCTTGGTGGTTTGGAACATCACTTTTATTTTTTTTTATGACTTTCCATACAGTATGAATTGGGACTATTAATCCCAACTGACTCATATTTTTCAGAGGGGTAGGTACACCACCAAGCGCAGTATTTGTGAGATTCTATCGAGTCACTCTGGGATGGTGACATGGCATGACATGGCGCCATCGACAGATAAAAAGTGAGATTTCATCCGTCAGTGACTGGACCTATCAAATGAGACGGGTTTTTCCATGTTTTTCCAACAGGGATCCATATTTTCTGATCTTTTCTGCTTTGTGGCAGTTGGTGGTTTCATTTTTTTCATTTTGGGCCCTTGGTAAACTAACAGAGCTATGGGAAAACACCATTTTTCATAGGTAAATCAAATATGAATGGTCATTTTCCATAGCTATGTTAGTGTACCGGAGGGTAAATCCCATTGTATATACTGTATCCCTATGAAATCCCATGAATTTCATTAGGATATCCCCAATGACTTTCGCACATTTTTTCAGACGGGTTCTGACAGCGCTCTCGTGTTGTCAGGAAGACGCATCAAGTGATTCACGCAGACTTGAAACCGGCAACTTGATGGCTGAGCTTCCGTCGCGACATATTGGACCCACCAAATCTGAGAATTTCCAACCTGTTTCAACGTGGCAGTTTCCGATGGTCACAGAAAACTACCTTTTTGGCGAGGACAAACCTCAACAGCGGGGGCAAAAAGTGATGCTTATCAACCATTTGAATGTTTTGGGAAAAACAATCAAACATGTAAATGTAAACATTAAACTTTAAAACGTTTTATGTTTACATGAATACAAATGGCTTGGGTACATTCTAAATCATATGATACATATGATAACACCTTATGAAAACATGGGTTTTGGAAACCATGAATTGCCCAGGGCTATCTCAACTGAGCTTGGGGGATAAATAAAAACTGGATATTGCCTTGGACAGAAGGGACTAAACAGAAGGGAAACCATATGAGATCTTTAAACATAAATAACATGGTTGAAAGATGTTGAAAGACTATTTCACATATTTTTATCCACTAACATAGAGTTGATAGATGTCACTGACATAAGTTGGAGAATAATAAATGTTGGTGACTTCAACATAGTCTTATGAAAAGGCCTTTCAACATGCCAAGCTTTGGTCGAAATCTTTGTTCATTGCCACTCTCCTTTTCAGCTTTGTGGAAGATTGGTCAAGTTGTTAGACAAAAACTGGAGAAGTCGTTGGGCAAAATGTCGGAATGGTAAACATTGGGGGGGTTCATTTTAGTAGTCAATTATACCAAACATGGTATCAACAATGGTCAAACTATTAATTATTCTGCATGACATGCCTTGGGTCTCTAAAACCATTTTCAGCTTTTAAAAGACTGCTGAAATAGATCTTGAAAAAAGTGGTACTGGTTCCTCAACTGATAGAATTACTATTACAAACATGATCATCCAGGGTTTACTAACCTGGGGTTGACATTACTAAAGTTTATGATTTTTGCGGTTCCGCAATTCTTGACTCATATCCATATTTCGAAGATGTCACAGAGAAAAACCTTTACCAACGAGGCGAGAGTACGCAGCGCTGAGGAAAATGTCCTGATGGTGGACTCTGCTTGGCGATCAGATGGCAAGGCCCATTTCAAGGCGGGTGAAAACTCGTCTTTGGGCCTGGGCCATATCCCATGACTGATCCATGGTGCTGGCATATATGCTAACATAAAGGGGTATATTAATGGTAAATGTTACCATATATAGCAGCACCATGGATCCTATGGCTATGGCTATAGTAATGCGGGGCTTCGGCTGCTACAATCATTTTTTTAAAAAGAGTAAGAGAGAGCTTGTGTGAACTGCTTTCCCCCGGTCGATGTTCTTTTGTTGGCCTTGTTCGTTGTTTGGTGCCCCTCGAAGCAGGCACCCTGCCATTGGAATGGGATGATTAACTTGACATTTGATTGTTTTGTTGGGCTCCAATTATCGATCTCGAAGATAAATCCCATGGCTTTAAGTACACTCTCTGTGTTTACAACTGCCGATTCCGATAGGCAATGAGGTAATCGCAAGATAGCTGAAGGATAAGCCAGTTGCAGCGGAATTGGAGATCATGAGGATTGTTAACCCAAACGAATGAACTGGCTTATCTAGAAATGTCATAGCAAAAATTATCCTCCCATCCATTTATTGCAGATTGACAATTATTTACATTTGGATTTCTAAGGAGTTATTCGACAGTTCTGGGTATGGTGATAAGATATACCAGAACAATTAAAGCCATGCTGATTATTGTTGACAATTATCACAATTATCGCAGCGTTCTGTGAGACAAGTGGTATAAAAGTGCAAAATCATGTGGGTCCAGAGAGTTGTCATGGGTAAACTGTGCTGATGGTTAAATCCCATTAAATCCCATTCAAATCCCTTTCAACATTAGAATCCCATTCAAATCCCATTGAAAATCCTGATCAATTCCCATCCCATTGAAATCCTGGTTTTTCAATAGAATCAATATGAATCAATGATGAGAATCGTATGGTGAAAATTCTTCCCATTATTGGATCCCAATGATCTTCCGACCATAACGGGCCGCACGAGGTCATTGACTTCGGAGGTGCGCGACGGGAAGGGTTTCCCATGGAGGACTTGGTCCTGCAGACCTTGCCATATCGCGCACCCGAGGCCCGGTTGCCATACCGGCAGGGCAGGGTCAACCTGCGCCGGGGATGCTGGGGATGCCGGGGATGCTGGGTGGCAACAAAAACTATGGAAAATGATGACAAAAATGATGACTTCATGAAGGAAAATTGGGATTGAATTATGGAAAATGGTGACGTAAGCATGGACAATTATGACTTCATCAAGGAAAATTTCGATTTCAACGAGGAAAATGTTGACTTAATCGTGCAAGAATTGCAATTGATCCGGAAGATTGTAAGAAAACCTTGGTTGACTAGGAAATCATAGGTTTTGAACCCATCTGCATGTCTTGATTCGTTACCTCTTTGACAGCCTCATTTGCGAAGAATTCGTTGCATATATCAATCCATTGAAATTCGATGAAATTTAGATCCCCAAAATGCAGTTTTATAGCTTTGACATGCTTTTGCAGTATGCTATAGCCTATAGTTATTTCACCTGAAACATCGGTTATACAGATTCCAACATATTGTCGTTAATGTATCTATCTATATTAATATATATATATATATATTATATATGTATATATATATTATATATTAATATATATATATATATTATATTATATATGTCCATCGTTGTCAATATTCAAGAGCCATCGTTGTTTGGCTTTACCACTTTAGAACAAAGCCTTGAGGTTCTCTTGGGTTTGCCAGTGAAATGTGCGGCCGCCTCTTGGCTCTCATGGCTGGGCTCCATTGGCCTTGGGAGTTTCCGAGGTTTCCCAAAGTCATGGGGGTGCCCATGAAAAACATCCGTTTAGACCAAACTATAGTATAGAAATGTATGGAAACAAGCATGGTATCATGGTGACTTGAGGATCTCCCATTTTAAGAAACCACCATATCGAAGTACAGTAAATGTCTATTGACATGTTCGATTAACAGAGGGTTGCCTGTATCATTTACCTATAGCTCAGCATCGGAAAACATGGCAGTCAACAGATGAGACTCGGAGTTTGAGGCTAGCCATCACCACTGGAAGGTCGACTACAGTGACCTTGCAGCGGGACATGATAAGCTGAGGTTTTAAGAGCCTGAAGATCTTGATCCACAATCCACAGCCATATTTTACGATCTCCTGAACAGATACCCTCTGGTATACAAATAACTATGGAAATCACCATGCTATGAATGGGTAAATCCACTATTTCGACTGGGCCATTTTCAATAGCTATGTTAGTCATTACCAGAGGGTAAACCACTAAAAAAACCTCCCGATGTCTGGCGGAAAAGATCCCGTGGTGCAGCCACGGGGCAGACATTGAGGACATGTGGAGTTTGGGGTGCATTTGCATTGAATCTTGCCTGCGCAACGGAGATTTCTCCATACGGCGAGTGGGCAGTTTTCATCACGAAGGAATTTGAGGAATGTGCCCCGCTACTATCATTTATATTCATTCATTACTCTTGCATGCGGCAAGACCTAAAGATAGACCTCACAGAGAGCCAGAGAGTGGCTGGGTTTATTGATCGGAATTGATCAGTTTACCAACACGACAGCCTGCTGAAGAATTCATGTTACCAGCTGGGTTTACTTCGTTTATTTCCAACGATCATCACTAGCGGTCAGCACTCCGGAGACGGCGATGATTTTAAGCGCCAAAAGTCATCATTGGGCCCGGTTGAAATCACTCTGACCCCGGGTTTTCACCTCCCATGTTCAGACAAAGTCATTTAAGGAAACCTAGGAAACCTGAGAAAAGTTTGGAGATGGATGGGATTTTCCCTGATTTTCCCACTTCTCAGCTAGTGAGAGGGTAGGCAGGTAAGCTTTTTGCTGGCCCAATCTTGCCTACTGCGCCATGCTACTCTTCCTGTAATCAGGGCAAGAGACCTATCTTGTTGGTTGACATGTTCCTCTTCTACACCCCAAACACCAGTATGTGCATTCAAATCAATGTGGTACTATGTGGCATACCCAATAGTTGTCTTGGTTTCAAGTTCCTCAAGTCTCAATCTTTCAAAACATATCCAAAAAGAGCCATATGAGTCAATGATTCAATACTATGAGTTTAAGTCATTTAAGTCTATATATGATATATTATCTGGGTAAATTATAACGACCTCACTGCGACCTCACTGGAATCATGGCTTACAAGGGAAATCATCCCCAAATGGCCTTAATTCAGGTTAGCGAAATATTATAATTTACTCAGATATATGATATATGATATATTATTAATCATTCGGTCACATGTTGGTCTAACTTCTTCAATCGTCGTGCAAAAATTGACATCTCCACGAGGAGCTCTTTGTGGGCGAGTCCCTGTTTTCTCACTCCAAAGACAAAGATGAGATCTTGGAAGGTGCGACGCCCCGACAGCGACTGCAACTTCATGGAAATTTTATATAATTTTATCATATCACTTACGATAGTGTTTACAGAATTTATAGCTACAAACTTGATTTAGAGGGCGTTGAAAAAAAAAAACACAGTACTCCGAAAATAGTGAATCCAGACTAGTCCCTAATTAGCTTTAATATATTGAATACACATTGATTGATTTGGGGACTTAACACTTTGCAATTTATCTTGAAGCTCCAAATCATGGGAAGACCTGATGTTCATGCTAAGACCCTAGATGTCTTCAGGGTATAGACGTTAAGGGTAATTCTATTACACATGGCTTCAGGATTCAGCCATAAAAATAGGGATGTAAGCGGCAAAAATTGTGATTCTACCATATTCTACCATTGAACATATGTTTGAAAGTAATTGATTTTTGGTGTATAGAACCAAGCAGCATGGGAAGTGAATGGGTATATAGTGGGAGTTGATGGGAAAAACCACCAACAATATGATGCGAGTATGCCTGAAAATGGGGGATGGGCCCCCAATGATGAAAAAAAAACATGAACTTCAAGGCTTTTTCCCGCATTTTCAAGCGTGTGAGACGAAGCGTTTTTATGTGTTCAAAGAATAATCCAGGTTGGGAAATGACACAGATACCAGGCAAGCGTCTGATTTTTGGAGATGTTTCGGTATAGTCCGTGATGTTAAACCCGGAGAGGCCACAATTTCATTTCCAGCTTTGCACGAAGTTGTCCAGTGGTGCCTCCGGTTATGTTGGTTGGTTTAAAAAAACCCCATTAACCAGCCCAAAAACATAAAATGAACCTAGCGAAAGAAACAAACTATGATCACTTCCAATGGAAATTACATTCTTACATATTCCAAAGTACCCAGCTTACATTTCCAATGGAAATTACATATTCCAATGGAAATTACATTCAAATGTTCCCAGCTTACAATTTTCCAAAGTACCTATTCTTGCTGGTGAGATCCCAATTTTTCATGGCTTTCCACCAACTGGGGCATCATTCCCCAAACAGTGTGTCCACACTGAGGGGTTCTTACGGTAAGGGTAAGAGCCGGTGCTTGATCAGGGTGCTCACTCTGGGCCGCGGCATTTTTCCTGTAAATTTCCGTATAAAGTGGCTCTTGTGAAATGTTTACATGCGTTTCAACTGCGCAGGCTCGTGCACAGTGTGTATCTGCGTTCTGGGCTCAGTCTGGGCCGCGGCATTTTTCCTGTAAATTTCCGTGCAAAGCGGCTCTTCTGATGTGTATTGTGAAATGTTGACGTGCATTTCGATTGCGCAGGCTTTCACAAAGTGTGTGTCTGCGTTCTGGGCTCAATCTGTGGCGAGGCATTTTTCCGGTAAATTTCTGTATAAAGTGGCTGGATCCAGCTGGGGCACGGCATTTTTCCTGTAAATTTCTGTATTGAAAATGGATCTTGTGACATGTTGATGATTTGATGTGCATTTCGACTGCGCAGGCTCGCAGACAGTGTGGTCCCCGGTCTTGGCTGGCGGCATTTTACCTGCAAATGGTTCCCGGTCTTGGGATCGGTCCTCGTCCTCAACATCATCATCCTCAACATCACCATCTTCCTCCTCCTCCTCCTCCTCAACATCATCATTCGCAACATCATCATTTGCAACATCATCATCTTCCTCCCCCTTGACCTCATCATCCTCAACATGATCAAGCTCCACCTCATCTTCCGCAACATCAACATTGCCACCCTTTTCATCACCATCCTCAACATTATCTTCCTCAACATCTTCACCACCATCATCCTTCTCAACATCATAATCTTCCTCCCCTTGACGTCCAAATCCTCAACATCATCAACCTCCACCTCATGTTCTGCAACATCAACATTATCATGCTTTTCATCATTATCCTCCTCAACATTATCATCCTCAATGTCGTCGTCGTCGTCATCATCATCATCATCATCATCATCATCCGCATCCTCATCCTCATCCCCATCCCCATCCTCATCCTCATCCTCATCCTCAACCTCCTCATCCTCAACCTCATCATCCTCGACATTATCCTCCTGCACCTCATCATCCTCAACATCATTGTCCTCTACATGCGCAACATTATCGTCCTCCTTCTCCTCCTCCTTCTCCTCCTCCTCCTCCTCCTCATCATCATCATTGTCATCTTCGACATTATCCTACATTATCCTCCCATTCCCCCACACTGTTTGGGGTCTCTTGCCGGAATAATTTTTGATAGTCAAAGGGGGCTCCACCCTGGAGGCATGGTGCAACTCTGCGGAAAGATTCCTGCGTGGATGCTGAAGCAAGGTGCTCGATCTGTAAACCATGAGTTTTCCCATTAGATATATGGGGATATCATGAAATCATAGGGATTAAAGAGGATTATAGGGGTTTTACATGTAATTATGGACACTTATATGTAATATATCGTAATGTATTTTTCCGACGTACCATAGTTTGTTCACCCATTTACCACACGAGCCCGAAGAGGTTCCCACGTGGCTGGCAGGGTCTATGTTAGTTGGAGGTTTCCTCAAACGGTACCCCAAATCCCAGCAATTAGACCATTTTAGTATAGCTTAACCCATGGCGACTTGGGGATCCATTTTGAGAACCCCCCATGTTGATTCTGAACATCTTACGATTTTTGGGATGCAATTCCATGAGCAATCCATGGTTTTTCTGGTAGCCTGTGCGACTTGGTCATAACCGGCCTGGCATACTGACCGCTTCCCAGCTGCCATGCGCATTCCAGGAAAAATTGTAAGTTGTGAAGAACCGAGGTGATTAGAAAAACCTGCATTTATCTCCAAAGTTCCTTTGATGATATCCCATTTGTAACCGGGGGAGCTACGGTAATCATGATTTATTTTGAACAGTTCTCAAATGTCAGAAACATATTTTTTTCTGTATGGGGGTGAATTTTGAGGCGCAAGGAAACATATGAAGTTGGGATTTTCATTAATGAATTCTACCCAATTCTTGGGTAATTGCCGTTTGACCCTATCAACATGAGGGCATGATCATCATCCAACTTAGCAATCCTTCCCATATGGATCATCCCCTTCCATGTTCCATCCCGCTGTGGGTCGGGTGATTCAAGGTTTTTTTTTTGGGACCACCAGAAAAATTAGAAAAGAGGTCCCAAAATCAGAAGTAATTCATCGTCAATGTAGTGGAAACACTTTTCCATCTATTTGTCAACCCCTGTAGGTTCTCGCCCTTTTAAATGTATTTCAAAGTAACAGTCCGCTGAAAGGAACACTTGATTTTGTAGATCTTCTGATATTTGCGCTAGTCTCACCGTCTCACCTTGGGAAATTTCCTGGGACTTCAGAGATGACACAAAAGTGGAATCTGATTTTCAGATTCCTTTGGGATCAACATCATCAAAGGCACTCGCACCAACGAGTTCTTCGACCGCGTTAAGCAGCGCACGGCAGCACGGACCAAGCGACTTGGTGCAGCGACCATTGTTTTTGGAGGTTGAAGTTTGAAGGTTCAGAAATGTGAGAAAATTTGAGCTGAACTATAGTGTAGAAGGGTTTTGATTCAAACTCGTATCTCAAATTTCTCACTTAAATTTCATGGTGATGCTAACGCACATATTTTTTGGGTGTGGAAGCGACCAAAAGGTAAGGGTAAAGCCGTTCCAAAGGTACCCGTTGAGCCAATAAGATGAACTGGAATTTACCTGGATGAAACGATCCCCTTTCGAGATTGAGTCATTGGATCATTGGATTATCTTTGAGCTATTCAGGGACTGCGATATCCAGCTGAGGATGAGAATCGATTTGTTTGCAGGTATCTGGGATTAGCAAAATCAACGGGCTATTGATCACCATCCAGAAAAACCCTCCTGAAAAGTACTCATGAAGCCACCAAATGACGAAATGTTGCCAGGTTACCTTTGGCCAGGGCAACTCGGGTCAACCCCAATTTTTTGGACCCCAGATCTGTCTGATTGGCTGGGTGGATTACTTCTATGGACTTATTTTTTCATGGGTCACTTTATCCATACTCAGATAATCATTGACCCCTTACCAAATTGCTTAAAGAGGAACACAAGGGCCAAACATGGCCAAACCACCAACACACCATTTATATACGCCTTTCCTACTTATGTACGGGTGGTTTTGCAGTCCCAAGATTGATAGATAACCAGTGGAAAATCAGGGGGATCTCCACGATTAACCATACCTGGAATTGTAGCATATTAAAAGACACCATATTTTAGTAATTTGATTACAACTCCCTATCCAAAACGTACGTATGTTATTAGAACTATAATCAAGAACTATAATCAAGACATATTAAGATTACAACACCTATAGCCTATAGTAATAAACATATATTAAACATATTAAGATCATTGTGATATGTCAGTCCACTCATTATTTCCCCATGTTTTGCAAGGCCGAGACCCCAGGGACTCTGGCGCCTTTTCGCTTGGGCCTGTAGTCTACGGGACACATTCGAAGCGTTCCGGCCTCGGACCTCTCGGACGGATGCAGCGGATGGCGCCGAGGTCTACAAATTCAGGAGGCGCCGTGGCCGTGGCGAAATCCCCAAGCAATGGTGATTTGAATGGGACATCATGGGACACCAACTCAATATGAAACAAACGCTATTCATGTATTACCAAATGCTATCTCCACCAACTCAATATGAAACATATGATAAGCCAGATTTAAGGTGATTTCACACATATTCTGCTGTGTCTTCTGGGCTTTTTTGAATAGGAGCATCCTTTCCAAACACGTTTTCGATGGCTCCGTATTCGGTTTCAATCGTTTATGTATAATTTGTAGAGTTCATATTGATGATCATAAACCATTATACATGAAACTCTACAAATTATACATAAACCATTGGTTATATATATATATATATTGGTTATGGAATTTAGACATGGAATTCCAAACCATTGGCTTCTTCTCCCCCCATACGTTGATCTTCTTTTTGGATCTATGCAAAAAAGTGCACCAAGCCGCACATCCAAGTATGCTATGAACGTGTTCATCCGTAAAAAGCGATGACATATCTCATAAATGTTGCATAAATTCAATTGAATCGAGTAGATCTCAAATATTGCATCAGTTAAATTGATTTTCCTGTATTTTTAGTTCTGATCTATGCCAAATCTGACAAGTTTGAATCAATTTGAAGAAATTTGGTACACATACATTGACATCCAATCTTTAGAATGTGATAGAAACATGTGGATGCTCTATGATGTACAGTCCATATGTATTATTTTATATGAAAACGATATATATATATATACATACACATTATACATATGACATCATACGACATATTTACATCATTCGGATATTGTAAAACACATATATATATATATCATTATATATAGTCATATAATTATGTGCATATATATACATGCATCCTATATACATTTTTTGCATATATATCTGTGATAGATATATTGATGGGGAGATGGTAAATTGATCAATTATATTTGCATCATAAACACACATAGATATTCATCATTGATATTCTTCAGAATAAATATATCTATGATATAGCATATATATATATATAGGTATATAAATAGATAAATAATCCATTTCTATTACCCTCTGGTAAATTAACATAGACCCTGAAAATCACCAATTTTAATGGAAACTAATCTTCCAACCCCTATCTGCCAGGGTCTATGTTAATTTACCAGAGGGTAATAGATATCCTTATGTCAACAATTTTGTCCAATCTCCCCATGTCCACCGTGGAGGCGCAGCGTTGGCCCCGCCTCCACGGCGATGACGAAGACGACGCTCTTCGGCGCCTTCCGGCGGCGGCGTTACGACCTGGTGAAGGGACGCTTTGGAGCGCCTTGGAGCGGGGCCATGGGACAAAATCCAGCGATTTTCCGGGTTAGTAAGTGGGTCCTAATTACTATAATAATAATAAATAATATATATATATATTATGTATATATAATTTATGATATATATTATATATGATATATATATATATAATACATATATATATATATATCTACGTAGTATATATATATATATGTAATTATATATACATCCCAAGTATATATACCAATTATATCCCAATTGTAGTGCATTTATATCCCAGTTATAATCCCATTTATATACATCCATTTACTAACTAGTTAACTAACAAACCATGGCCCATCTGAAGGGGACTGATAGAAATTGACTCACTGGTGCTATTGGTACAGTCCGGGAATAGGGGAAATGATCTAATCCACAACTAGCAACAATCATCTTATTGTATCTCATTCCCAGATTTCCTACTAAGCACCAGTAAGTTGATGATAAAAGTGGGAGATTTGTCAGCAAAAAATGGAGATTTTACATACCACAATGAAATTGGTGTCACACTAAAAATCAGTATGGAACTGGGAGATTTGTCTAGGTCACCAGTCAAACGTTGGTGTTTCATCATCAAAACTATTTGGCACATTAGCAATGACATTAAGACGTGTTTAGTGACTGGGTGATCATTTACAAGCCATGTGTATGAACTTGTCCTGTATGTTTCTTCCTTAAACCCACTTCTGGGAGTGTGGGTCTATCCAAGAATTGGATACCCTCAAAACCCACGTACCGATTATCACTTTCCCACTTAAAGCAAACAAAAATAGGGGCATACCCCATTCTCAGACAAACCCATATTGATGTATTTGGGCATAAATGTGTTCGTGGCAATGGCTGGATGTATTTCTGATGTTCTTATTATTACATATAGTTAGCCAATGTTTGCCCAGTACGATGAATAAGACATGCTGATTTGTTGAATGCGTCCAAGATTACGAACTGGCCGAGGCTCTAGGCTTTGTTTACCCCCAAAGTTGGATGGTTTTAGATCCTAAACATAGGGTTTACCATCTTAACTTGGCCACAATGCGTTCAAACTATATGTACACGCATACATATACATATACATATATATATACACGTTATAATTATATATATATACATATGTATATATATATCGCGTATACACACATCAGTTACAAACCACTGCACATTCCCGCTATCATCCAAGAATTTCTGTGGACGGATTCGAGGGAGAATTGCGATTGAACCAACATGAGCGGGAAAATGCAAGAGATATTGGGTTAAGGGTGAATGATGGTGGATGGGCTGGGGGTAGATGGGAAAAGTAAGCTGCTCCAAGCAATCTAACATAGCTGTAGAAAATCACAATTTTTAATGGGTAAATCCACTATAAATGGCCATTTTCAATAGCTATGTTAAATTACCAGAGGGTAACCTACTCCAACCAATCATCAACTGGGAATCAACAAAATCAGGCACCTGGAGGAAATGGGTGAAGATCTGGGGATGAGAAAAACGCCAGTTGAACGGCGCTGTTGTTCTTTTTGGGACGCCGCACGCACGGCGAGGATCCTTAGAGGTTTGATTTTCAAGAAGAGGTGTACTCGGAGGATCATCCCACTTAGTAACTATAGTTAGTAATCGTAGTTATAAGAAACCATTTATTAACTGGTTGGTGGTTTCAAACATTTTTTATTTACCACAATATATGGGATGTCATCCTTCCCATTGACGAACTCATATTTTTCAAGATGGTTAAAACCACCAACCAGTAAATGTTATAACATAAGTTAATTAACCCTTTTCGAACAAACCATTTTAGCAACAAACCATGATAACCACTTAGTAACATGTTATAACTTATAACCCATTTATAACTGGGATAGCCCAACGAAATGGAGACTTCATAAGATCATGCCCCCCTTTGAAGCTGCCTATAGATTCTATTGGAATCTAAGTGAGCCATGAAAAAAACCATCTCCCATCTCATGCTAGTTGGTGGAGAGTTTCTCTACTGAAAGGAGGTATAGTAATCCCCAATAAGCCAGGTAAAACTCCTAATGCCCAATCAACAAGGATATGTCTAATGGCAAAATTGGGTCACCGAAATCAAATTTGGGGGGTGCACGATTTGGGATAGAAACCACTAGGCCCATGACATCGTGGGCTTAAGGGATACAAGCGGGGTCAGCAAAATACGCAGGACTTGGGTCAAAGTTCAACCCCCATGTCTCCCCCCAGATGGACCATCAAAAAATGAGCAAAACGTGCTGACTTTTGGGGCACAGCAATCCTGTTGGTGTCCAGATTTTTGGGTCTCCACAGCCAAGTTCCAAGCTCGAAGTCAGAGGCCAAGAAGGTACATCAAAATAGCTGGTGTTTTTCGATGATCTTCCCCCGCATTCACGTGGGCAACCGTGCATATGGCGGGATATAATTGAAAATTCATGTGGAAAATCAATGGTTTGGACCCACCGCACATCACCCAGTGTTTGTAGCGGGAATACTTTCAGCAACCACTTTTTTTTTGGGGAAAAAACACACATAGACTAGTCCATTCCTTCCAGATTTTTCCTAGAAAACCGTCCTTATTCACATTATTCACCGCCCAAATCCCATGAGCAGCACGAGTTCGGCGGACGCCTAGGCCCCACAGCGTCTTTCGTCGAAGCCGCTGGGGCAACAGCAGCGCCTTCGACGAAACATGGAGAAACTCATCCGGAGGCCGGCGCTGGTGAGTAACTGGGTTATAAATACCACGAACCATCCCAATGATAACTAACCCAGATATGATTTGTAGATATTTGTAGGGGTTAGTTATACTTTGTTATACATACTGGCTACAACGGTTAGTTGTAAATAGCCGTGATCATCCACGAACTGCTTCACGTGAAGCCATGGCACGACTCCGGAGGATGTTGGTCTTGGACCCTGAGCGCCGGAGTGATGCATCTGAGTTGTTACGGATGAAGTCTCAGCTGAGCTGACGTTGTTACCCTCTAGTAATGACCAACCAACAAACTATGAAGATTTTTAAGGGGGCTTGTAATGGGATATAGCCTCAGGTAATGACGTTCACAAAAAACTAATTCTGAAGTTGGCGATATATTTCCTCTGGTAATGACTAACAGTTTGCGAACTTGAACATGGCCATAGAAATAGTGAGTTTTCCCATTGAAATTGGTGGATCTTTCCATAATTAGCTAACATAATTGGTAATTTAACCAACAAACATGAGGATTTTTAAGGGGGCTTATAATGGGATATAGCCTCAGGTAATGACGTTCACATAAAACTATGGCAAGATCCACCATGCAATTAATGGGTAGTCATCCACTATTTCGACTGGGCCATTTTCAAGTTCGCAAACTGTAAACGTTTACCAGGCCGGGTATGTTCAACAAGCCGAAATACTGGGAATTCTGAAGTTGGCGATAAATGCTGCGAAACATGGGATAGGATTCGGAGCATCAAACAACTACATGGCGCATTTGGAGTCTGTTTTTACTGGGCATTTGTTGTTGTTTTCTTTGTTGATGTTGTTTCTGTGGTGGTGGTGGTGGTCGTCTTTGTTTTTACCTTATATATACATATATATATATATATTGTGTTTTAGTATAGGAAATTACAAGGGTATATTTCATGGGAATACGATATAAGGGATGAAAAAGCAACCATCAATTCTATTTATGGATGAAAAAGGGGTTGTAGGGGCTTTAAGCATTATATATATAACAATGGGAATACAGTAGCATCCAAAAGTTACGATTGATTGGTTGATGATATATGGCTATATTATATTATAATCACGTCACGTCGCGACGTCACGACGTAAATAATTGTTAGTAAGGGGTATCATCCCCAAATGGTTTTGTCTCGTTGGTTAATTATTACAATCCATTCAGATTTGAGTAGTACTGTATTTGTATAATGGCTAGTTGTAAATTTATGGTACCAGAAGGTACCCATTAATTATTTTATTACGAACTTGCCTAAGGATAAGTTGAAATGGAATAGTACATTTCATCTACATATGGGGGATGATATTGTCCAAGTATTTCTTGCCCATTTTGACATGGAGTCTCTAGGATATCCTTCCAAGAGCAACATAGAATCCTCTGCAAGAATCCCACATTTGAGATTCAGGTTGAATCTTGGTGTGACCTTTATGTGGAATGGAAGTAGATCTCATACTTTTTCTGGCTGAATAAATGGTCGACATTTCTTTACTACCATGGTTTCCATGTTGAAACCCCGCACGCCTCGCAGGGGCGTGCTGGAAAATCAGCGGAATTGTTGAGAGTTCATGAACCAGCGAGCCACATCACCTTGACCGGCGGAAAGATCATTTCCTAGCACGATTCTATGTGGCGCTTACCCTCTGGTAAACGTTAACAGAACTATGGAAAGATCCACCATTTTTCATGGGAAAATCAACTATTTCCATGGCCATTTTCAATAGTTATGTTAAATTCACCATTTTTCATGGGAAAACTCACTATAAATGGCCATGTTCAATAGCTATGTTCAATTACCCGAGGGTAGTTGTTAAAGTTATAAGCCAACTTAGGTCACGTCCTGCGGGCAATAGAGGCCCAACGGCAATTGGTGACCCAGCCAGCACCAGGTGATGTGGTCACGCCTAGTTTTTTTTGTTGGACTCAACCGTCTATGCAGCGCTGTACAGAAGGTGGCTGGGGCTCATGAGATATCCAGAAGGGGCCGTCATTCCTGCAGATCAATGTTGACTCTCAGCTATTCTAGGTGAATGTGAAGTGGTATGCCGGTTGTTGGCCCAAAAGTCTAGTTGTATGAAAAAGCATGTTTTGCCAAGGTGTTTCGCACACCAAGAAAGTAGGGTTTCCCATGAATCCACTCTCGACAATTCCAGTGCAACCTCTCGCTGACTGACCGCACCACATGATAACGTTAGCAAGTAATTAGAGCGGCATCATCCCAAGAGATCGCCAATATTTCAGGAAATGTCACTGTAGTGAATCATGATCATTGCCCAGAACCGTTGAACAAAACGACTTCGTAGCATGCCGCCATGCCACAGAAGCGCCTGATCGCCGAATTCAGGGGCGAGGGACTCTGCGCACAGAGAGGACAGTGCCCAAAAAACTGCAGCGGCAGGGCACACACCCTGGACACCAAGATCTTGGTGCTTTCAAATCTGGATCATTAATGATAGATTACTATATATATTACATGATAGCTAATATATATCTATCTATCTATCTATCTATCTATCTATCTATATATATGTATACATATACAGATCATAAACGTGATAAGATACATATCTACAATTATAATTAATTATATTCATTGATCAAACATGTCTGGGATGTCTCAATGAACTATCCAGGCTTAGCGACTCCAACTCATGAGATCAGATGTCGATTAACAGACACCATTGTTCCGGCATTGCAAATGAACTGGAGAACTGAAATATATCATTTACCACTGCAAAATCAACAACGAAGAAGAGCAACGGAAAGAACAAACACCATAACAAGAACAAGAAGAACAAGAAGAACAAGAAGAACAAAAAGAACAAGAAGAACAAGAATATCAAGAAGAACACGAACAACAAGAAGAACAAGAAGAACAAGAAGAACAAGAAGAACAAGAATAACAATAATATCAAGAAGAACACGAATAACAAGAAGAACAAGAAGAACAAGAAGAACAAGAAGAACAAGAAGAACAACAATAACAATAATAACAAGAACAAGAACAAGAACAAGAACAAGAAGAACAAGAAGAACAAGAAGAACAAGAACAAGAAGAACAAGAAGAACAAGAAGAACAAGAAGAACAAGAAGAACAAGAAGAACAAGAAGAACAAGAAGAACAAGAAGAACAAGAAGAACAAGAAGAACAAGAAGAACAAGAAGAACAAGAAGAACAAGAAGAACAAGAAGAACAAGAACAAGAACAACAACAACAACAACAACCATTTTTCACAAAGAAAGTCCAAGGTTCCCCAAGTAGCCAGGCTGAAGAGATTGACTGGACCTTCCGCCAATCTGGTGCCATGACTCAATTGGGTGAGTTGCGAAGCTCGCAACTGGGCATGGCAGGACAAACTTTAAGATCAGCAATTTTAGTCCTAGTCTTTGATGGATGTTAGTGATGTTAGTGATGGATTGCTGACAATTTTAGATGGATGGAAATCTAAGTTTTCTTTCCAAACATTTCAATGTTAATCACCAATTTCCACCTTGCTTAGTGCCCAACAGTTTTTTTATGTTTGAATAAGTAGTTTTGTTCACTGGTGATCGTAGCGATGCCTTGAACCTGAAAACCGACATGTCGTAGCGATGCTTCCCATGTCTGGCACAGATTTTCGAGACATTTTCCATGGTCTTCAACAGTGAGCCAGGAACAGCTATAGGAAATCATGAGTTGAAACCAGTTCTAGATCCTAGGCTTCAGAAAGGATGAAGAGGGGACAGTCACCCGAAATGCTTCGAAATCAGTCACTGCTTGAAGTTGATCAGTGTAGTCATTTAAACAAGGGATTTTAACCAACAGAAAGATATGGGGATAAAAGCGGATAGAACTCATAAAATGATGTTTGATGGATGTTTAGTTTGGGGATGATCTGCCCTTGATATGTCGTGGATTTTTATCATGCCAGTTCACTTGGAATCCTGTTCTTCACCAGCCGGTATAAATGGTATGAATTTGGAGGCCGTATTTCACCACATTATGGCTGTTTACAATGGACTTACTGTATTTATCTACATGACATATATGTCTGGTTGGTGGTTTCAAACATGGCTTTTATTTTCCACAATATATGGGATGTCATCCTTCCCATTGACTTTCATATTTTTCAAGATGGTTAAAACCACCAACCAGATGATTTTTTTTCGTTTTTGTTTGGGATTCTATTTCTTCCCCAACAGATTTGGTGTCATGCCAAGGCAGTGGGGTTTACCCACACTGCAGATCTCTTCAACCCATTAGATGGCAACAGGTGCCGGTGCAACCCTGGAGTTTTGCCTTGAAAAAGGGGCCCATCCTTGAAGATGCCGAACAGTTTTCGTAGGATGTTATAGGATCATCTTATGCTTATAGGTGTTCAACCTGTGAACTTTATTCAGGAGGTTGCTATACCGCTAGTTTGACCCTTGGCTTCTCATGTTTTAAAACAACGAAAAACCATTAATCATGTGGAAACCTGGACATAGTTGTCCCAGAAGATTGGTTTGCTATTGATTTTGTAAATGTCAGCGATTCTTCCATGCTCGATTTCTTCAGGGCTTGGCCCGGGTTGTAGGGTTGGCATCACCTGGTGCCCCAGAAATCTTGGTTTGGTATTGGATCTATTCAGACAGGGGTCCCAGTGGGGGGGGGTGTTTGTTTAGTATTAGGGGCAAGAAATTACTCAAAGCTTTCGTACTTTTATGCATTTTAATGGCAAATGAGGGTTGGGTAGTCGAAGAGGTCGAAGATGCAGAAAACCAGGGCATCCCGCAACCAGCGGCAGGTACCACTCGCCGTTGGCTCGATCTGTTTGGGAGCCAAAATTTGAGATAAGAACTTGGGCACGATCATGGTTTACCCTGAAAATCCAGCATGAAGCCCCAAAAATTTGAGGTCTTGAAAGGTGCGAAGTTTACTCTCCTGTTGAAAATGGGTACTTTTTTAGGTGATTTTTCTGCTGAAAATGATGAAGTCATGATTTTTTTGTTTGATTTACAGGTGCAAGAAGCTCAGTTTGATTACTTGAGTTTGGGGCCTTGCAAAGAAAACGGATTCTCGACATATTTGTTCAACAAACAAAAAGGCAACCGAGCTTCTGCACTGCTTGCAACCCTTAATATACCGTCACCGCAATACTCTGCAACTATTCCACTACATCCCATGTCGGAAACACCAAATACCCTCAAAATCCTCACAGTCTGTAAGTACAGTGTTTTTTTGTTGCAAACCCATTGGTATGTTCCCATTATCAAAGCTCACATGACTC